TATTATGTTGTTCTTTTCATGTTTTCATAGCACATTTTGCATCAGGCACCGCTATAGCAAAGTTTCCAAGCGGTGGCCTTATCATTGGCCGATCATTGAAGAATCAGGGACATGAAGTTTTAACAGGGGAAACCAAGACACAGGATGATGTTCCTATTCTGGGTCTGTACCGACAGAGCCCAGCCTCAGGCCATGTCGTCCTCTATGGCGACTCTAATTGTATTGATAGCAGTCATTTGCAAAAAGGTAGGAAGTCTGTTGACACAAGGATAAGTTGAATTAGATTTTATGTAGATGTAGCATCATTATCAGTCATATTCGTCATCATAATGATTATAATCAAATTTCCCATCATAATTGTCTGATTGTAGTCACCATCATCATCTACATCATTGTCATCCTCATTATCATAATCATAATTGTCATCCTTACCATTAGCATATTATGATTATTATTAATTAGTAATTATTAATCATATTGTTTTTGTCTGTTCACGCCATTATAGTTTATATTTGTATTTATTATAGGTCATTGGTTATGTTTTTCTCAGTATTAAATCTACAATCAGAAAATGTTGTCTTGAAACATCATTAAATTTATTTTTCTCCATAGAATGTTTTTGGTTACTGGAAATGTTACTGCAGTACACATCTTTTGGCAATTTACCAATCGACCTCAGTGAAGAGCCAGTCATAAGCCTTCCCCCTATAGATCAGTTACCAGAACGCATGGACAGCAATCACTTGCATCGCTATTCTAAGGTGTTAGATAGCCACCTTGGAGAGCCTAAGCCTAGGCCACTTCCTGCTTGCCCTCACTTGGCCTGGGCTAAAGCAGAACCATTGAACATATCTGCACCAAGGTATTTATTATATTATAATTAATAATTGTTTTCATTATTTTCATTAAAAAGTAGATTCAATTTTTCGTTGGTTTATTCAATTTTTATAAATTAAAAAGCATTTTTCTTTTGAAATTTTTTATGAAGCTTCCTTCTTTTTCAGCAATCTGTTCCAACATCAGAAATTACTGTCTGTTGTGGATGTAGGACCAATGGTTCTCAAGCGACCTGAGGTTCTGCCACATAGGGGCGCTGCTCAAGGTGTTGATGACTGGGACCTCCCTCCGGGGATGAATCATTCAAATCAACTGGACAATTCAAATGCATATCCTTTAATCGCATTTTTCAGTACAGTGCTTGTACTTGTATTCTTTTTTGTTCATGTACACAAGAGGAAAACGAGACCAAAGCGACGGAAAGGGCCACGCCTTAAACGATTTACAAGGTTACAGGAACGATTTCATGGGAAAGTTCCAAGCGTTTGAGAGAAAACTTTCCCATCTAGAGCTTTTTTTTTTACTTATTGACTTGTGAAAATATATTATATCTGTTGTATAAGGGTAAATTCTCATTTGTAAGTTTAGAGTAAGATTTTATACACCAAATTTTGTGCTAGTAAGAATGAATTGGAAATAGTTAATAAAAGCTTATTGCATTGTGGGATATTTAACATGTATTTTGTAGAATTCTTCATGGATTTTGGGATGTCCATATAGTGTGGGGTATTCATTGTACGGTGTGTACTCTAAGCTAGACATATTTTGGGTAAATTTTAGGAGATAAATAATTTGGAATGGTATTGGTCAATTCCAAATCCTCTACAGAAATATTGCCCTTAGAATAAGGGATGTTGGATACTGTGTGTGAGGGATTCTATATCTATCACCAGGAAAAAATACTTTTTTATTACCTCCATTTACTAATAATCAAGTGCTGTAAGAAAATAAAACTGTATTTAAAAAATTCATATTAGATATGAAACATACATTTTAATTTATTTGTTACTTTAGTAGCAAATCACTATTTTAAGCTGATCATTTTAATTTGTGAATTGTGTTCTTTATATGACTGATTTGGTTTGTGTTTAAATGCTGCAGGTTATCAGTGTATGAAAACTAAGAGTTAAGTGTGAATAATTTGACTATTATGAAGTTCAGGTTAAAGATGGACCAACTTAATAACAAAATATTATTTTTAATTGAATTTGATTGTGCTTAAATTCTTAACATTTGAAACCTGCCTCTTTTCATTGATGAGAATTTTATGTTTAAGGATGTCCAAACAAATATACTGAAAATGTGAGGATACAACAGATTAGTTCCAAAGATCTCTCCATACTGTTAGTATTGACAAATGCCTGCGATTTGCCTAAATATAGGTGTCATATGACATCATACCCATATATGGATATTATATGACATCATGTCCATATATGGGAGTGAATCACATATATTTGTCAGAGAACTTCAGAGTGAAGACAACAGTAGCCATGTTATTCTGACTCATGACAAATAGAGGATCAGCACTCACTTGAATCAGTGCTATTTATTGTTTAACTTGTTAACTATTATTATTATTATTATTATTATTATTCATTATTATGATGTTACGAAAACCTACCTTAAGGGGAACTTAGACAATGGAGAAATTAGAGAACAATTAAAAAAACGATGTTAAAGGGAAAATAACACAAAAGATATTCCCTTAAGTCCGAGTTTATGGCATTATTATTATTATTATTAGTATTATTATTATTATTATTATTATTATTATTGTTATTATTATTATTATTAGTATTAGTATTATTATTATTATTATTATTATTATTATTTAAAACTAATTATGTATCTTATTTCTTACACTCCAGAAGTAAATGAAGGAATAAGTTAGTATGTTTGCCAATGTATTTACTTTTATTTTTATACTGTGTTTTGTAAATATAAATGTTGTCTAAATGATGATTTATACGAGGCATACAATGTCAGATATTTGTCTGACAGACTAAACTGTGTTTGATCTGACATTTGTTGTCCCAGGGCACATGATTCATTCCTGTCCACACTATCAAATTTTATTTGACTAAAACATGTGACATGCCTAAATATGGTCATGATGACATCACATCATGACCATATATAGGCACATCATGACTGAATATGGGCATACAACAGTTTTTTGTCAAAGAAAATTTGATAATCTGGACAGGGCTTTAAACAACCATCACAATCAAACAAAATAATCTGATCAAATTTTAGACAAAAGCAGTGTAATATATGCTTATCTGAAAATGAATTTATGCACTTCAAGTTATCAGTGAGAAATATTTGTGATTTGCCCATATATGGGCAAATTAATGTTGTTGACAGACATTTGGAAGATTGAATGTTTTTCGTCCTGTCCAAGTTATATTTATTTTCCCATTTGTATATTGAAATAAGTTTTATTGTTGCGAGCTTTCATATTTTTATTGTTAATATTTTATACTTTAATAGAACTTTACGAATTTAAGATTATTAACAAATGATTAATTATTAACGAATTTCTTGTACAAACTTATAATGTAAATATTTAATATAATATGATGTTAATGTGAAAGCAAAATTAAACTGGCAGATGCCTTCTCAAGGTTGGTGTTCCCATCATGCAATTTTGCATAGCATTATGGGAAGTCCAGCCAAATGAATTTTTTTCCAGCAGTGATAATAACAATATAATAAGAGATGTTGTGTTGTGCTAAAAGTCATTTTCTTTCAAATAAAAATTTCTTGCCAGTTAACTCAACAAAGTACAGCAATAATAATCGTTAACATATACAATACCCTTGAAGTAACTGAAAATTCGTAGGAAAAAAAACATCTAATAATTCAGCGAAATATTTTTAATGATATGTTTATCATTGGGAGTTTTTTTGAAAGTGGTTGGTGTAACATTTGAGGTTAGGTTCTATTTGCTGCTTGTGACATGGGCAAGGAACTTGACTCTGTTTGTCTAACTAGGAAGTATAAATTGGTACCTGGTTGGATGCTGTGGCGTTGCATACTATTGGTTGTGTAAATAATTTATTACAGCACAATTTTGTATATTCTCTCTAGAAAGCAGGGAAAATTTCTTTGTGACTGTTTTTTCAACAAAATGGATCCAGTAACCAGGGAAATGATATAATAACGTTGCCTCATATCGTATTCCAGCCTTATGCTGATATATACGTTATGGTTCTGAAATTAATAAGGAATAATTGAGGGTTTTCTATAATGTTATGACATCATATTACAGTATATCTTTAAACAAAGGTTGTAAAAGTAACATATCGAATTTGATAGAGTGTTATCTCTGTTGGTGAGAAATGACGTTGCAGAACCACGTGGTAATTTAGTGGAATACTGATATGTACAGTAATTTAATTTTTCTTCATAGAAAGAGTTGTTGATACTGTATTGACTTGATGTCAATGAGCTCCTTTCTTAATACGTAATGCTATGTTGAGAGGTGTGTACATTTTTTTTCTAAATTGTATATACCAGTATTGCAATCTAATTGTCAAATTTCGAGAAAAAAATACAGGTTTGAATATGATGCTTTTGTTTATTGTTTGTTTATCTTGATCTGCTGTAAGTGTTGAATGCCAGCAAAATGGCCATCACTCTAGAGTGCCAGTACCAGGCTACATGACATCTAATCACAGAATGGAAAGGTGTGGATGTTTACATTTGCACAAGGCATTGAAGGATACACAATGTATGAGAGTGTTGGGATTTGAGTAAATGTGTAAAGTCGATTATGAAACGGAAGTGTTGATGATGGCATGTTCCACGGTAACACACGCCTTGATTGACCGCCAAATGTAAGTACCACACGCTTTGATTGGCAAAATGTTAGTAATGTTTATTTGGTCAATGTTATGCTAAACTGGGCCCACGAATTCTGCGCTACCTGTGTTATTATTTGTGATCTACTGAAACTGTGTCTCCCTAGTTTTTATTCTGACCTGAATGTTGCTTTTACCTACAGAAACATTCAAATAAAACTAGAACGAATACACATATGGGAAAAAACTTTTAAAATAACCGAAACCAATTTAAGCTTGTAGGAAGAGACATTTCGTGTATCTATGGCAGCATTTAACTAAAGATTACACAATTTTAACGTTTTATCAATATTTATTAATACTCGAGAGAACACACAATAATATAACGTGATAAGTAAGTTTATGTGACTTGCGCATTAGGCCTATGTAGGCCAGTAATGGATAGAAACAAAAATAATCTAACAAGTGCAAGGAAGTTAATGTGATTTTTGCTCATTATTTAGGCCAAGTAATCATATGACGTGGATAATGTCTCGCATAAAGTGTCATCGATTAGTGTTTTATCGCATTAACAGAATTTGAGTAAACGTGTCTGTTTTTTAAACATGTTTATTGCATGTATAATATGCCAATGAAGTTCGATACACCCATACTATTTGAGCAACATCTATAAAATTTAAAGCATACACGATCGCTTTATAGCTTTTGTCTACCAGACTCAACCGAGAATCTTTATCAGACTTTCTAATAGCATGCTTGTTGTAGACATATCTGATCGAACAAACCGTGTGTTCTTAAAAGTCTGACCAAATTGTATATCAAGCAAAAAGTAGTAGGCCTATATGTCCTGCTTTTAAGCAGGACTATAAAACTTGGTTTCCATACAATCGCTACACAGTCGCTACAATGATTCGAGTGCAATCGTTGTACTTCGTAGCAGTCCCGACGCAATCGGGAAGGCTTCCCGATTCGACCGACCAATCAGCATCACCGAAAGCTGTCGGCGATAGCGTGTGGCGATTGTATGGAAACCAAGCTTAAGAGAATTGATATGACTACCAATTTGCTTATGGTCTTTCATTAGCAGCTTTCATGAAAATAGTCCAATGCGCCTAGGCGGTTGATTTTTTCTTTTAACTAACAAGGGTTGGTTCCATTAATATTGAAACGACGCAACTAAATAACGGGTGAAACAACGATGGAGCCAAGAACCTGATGCTCACGGCTCTAAATAAATCCATCAGTCTTGATTACTCCATGGACTTTATCGAAATATTGGTTGGTGTTAGACTGCAACATCTGAGTCCATTATAGATATAAAACGAAATAATATCAAAGAGGAGTTTAATACGCATTTACCATTTACGTCAACGACAATACAATACGCATCGGTGCACACATTGCGCCATATGTGCGTAAATTTCATCACGATATAAACATAAAAATCTAAATAGTGTGTGAGAATAGTGACGTCACTTAATGAGGCGAAAATAAGGAGTTAAATAACCTTGTACCATATCCCATCGCCGACTAGGACTTACAGATAATCAGAAACTAAGTCGGTTACATTCACCCTATAAATTTACAGAATAGCACAGGTTTAATAAAGGATTACATTGAGCGAACTTTATCGTTAGCTTAGGCGTGGCTTTTGTAAACTGTTCCTATTAAAAATTAAAATATACATTCTAATATTCGTATTTAATCTTTATATACAAACATAAACATACATCTTAATCTATAATATATAAATATACTAATCACACGTGTTTTTACGTAGGAAATGTTTTATAGGCCTATTATAAACCATTTGACATAAAGCAGGCATGTGATTTAAAACATGCAGGCCCTATCGTGTTGCGATCTACTAAGTTGCTTAAGCAATTGCTTGATCACAAAGGATAAACTTACTCTTGAATTAATTGTGCCTATTATTTTTATTTACTAATCTTTTCACAAGAAGTATTTGGAAATTGTATTTCCTGTAACTCTTCGTTTGACCAACTAGCTATCTATCTTTAAGCAAATGAACGCGAAGCTTTGACATCACGTGACTCAGCGTTAACCAATTACAATAAGCTTGTTATTTCAGCACTTCTTACAAGTCTTTGGACATTGGTTGAAGGCGTAGTCCGAGATGGAACAGTAACTTTCGCCAAAGAACATACATACATCGTTGTCTTTGCATTCTGCGGAGAGAAGCGCGATTTTAGAATCTTGTTTAAAATTCACAATCAAAGTTACTGGAAATGTATTTTAATCAATCAAAAAGTTTATGAAATTGAGTGAAATTCATCAAAAAAGTCTTGCTCGTTCGCGGCTTAGCGAATGTTACAGTTCATTAAATTAAAAATTTTAAGTAAACAAACAGGCAACTACAATATTACAATGCTAATGAAAAACACAAGAACACATAACATTTGAGTCTCTAAATTTTCCGAGAATAGATTCAGTTTTTAATAGAAAGATGAATATTGCGTTATTACTTTTATAACTTTAATTTAATGTGTTTTAATTAGTAGTTTATTGGCCTCATAGTCAGAAACTGAATCTTTCTTACGTGTGTTGTTATTAGCTATTTTATAAGAATAACATTAAGCTGTCTTTGTTTCCAAATGAATTATGAAGGTAAAAGTTTAGTACTTACTGCTTTTCGATAATTTAGAAACTTCTGTAAAATAATTAAAAATACAATGTTATGCATAATAAGATTAGGCGAGAGGAGAAATGAATAATAAACCGAGGACTGTAGCAAATAGAGATGGTTACAGCCACCCCCCCCCCCTCCTCCAATTCTATTCACTTTTGGGACCTGAGAATGTGAGCTGGTCTGGAGTTCGGGTTAAAACCGAAGATTGCAATTGTTAGTATTTTTGTAAAAAAAATGGCTCAAAAGGAATTAGAGGGTGTCGAATTGGAGGGCGAACAATACTTAGGTTGCATTATATACAGTGAAACATTTTTGTAAAACAGGATTGAATATCATTCTGTATAATTGTTTCAGAAGCTAATATATGCAATTGATTGTATAACTTACTGTTTTTCTGTTGTTTGGGAATATCTGCAAATAGAAAGATAAAAACAAATAATAGCATATCAACAAGAATGTGTTGGAACAATTTAAATAAAAAATTGACAGATATATATATATATCCCCCGAGGCCCCAGTTTTAATGTTTCAGTTGTAATTTTGATATTTGACATACTTTTTCTTATTGATATACTGTAAGTAGGGTTACATTTTAGATTTTCCTTGAAATCCAAGGCCTGATCCGCTACATGAGCTGTAACTAATTGTTTACAAAACTCACCACATAATTGGCACATAGCTGGACAATTTTCAGGTACATACGGGTACTTGTCGTTACACCAGTCCGGGAACCACCCAGTCCAACAAGTCGAATCTGTATTTTCACATCGACCTAAAACACAAATAGTTTTTAAAGACCTTAAAGAATTAATATCAAATTTAAGAAAGGCAATTAATAAAAACTCAGTCGACATGGGATTGAATACCGTATTGTGAATTAAGCACCTGGTAATTTGTGACCCCTGCATTGTTTACAGTAGACGAAAGTGCAACTTTAGTGTCACAAATGCGTCAGTTAACTTTTTTATGCGTGCGTTATCACAGTTTCATATTAGAAATATACTATCAAAACATTACTTCAGGTATGACAAATTTAAAGTATTAGTTTTGTTCATTCCAATGTGTTAGGCTTTCAGCTGCAAATTATACAGTAATTAGAAAACATTTTTAAATTTAATATGCCTGTGTCTTCGCATAACCCATACATTTCTGGCAGCACTAGAAGTTTATAATAAAATGTCTGTAGATCATTAATTTTTTAAAATCCTTAACTTATTGAAAAATTTGATAATTTACCGGTTTTTTTAAAACGATTAATTCGAAGTTATATTTTTATTTTTATGGGTTTTACATAGTTATTTTGTGGGTGATAATATCTTTTAATCAATTCACAATAGAATCGGTGGATGGTTCTTGCCGCTATCCCTCACGCGTATAAAACGACGGACGTTATTGACTTCGGGTTCGATGGGGTAGTGTCTGAGTGCTTGACTTATAATATTTGTCGTGGGCTAAAAAGGTTGCGGATATAAGGTGACAAAATTATATGAATGTAGAAAAAGGCAACTTAAATTTTTACGACTAGATCTATGATATTACATCAGTGACTGGATCTTTGTTGGTCTATCAAGTGTCAAAACCTGTGTGACGTTCTAAGCATACGTATTATTCATATTTATTTATTTGATTAGAGAAACAATTGTTAGTCTAATGATATAGTACGGAAATACAATTTTTTGGCGGTAAAATAGATACCTTGACAGTCTGGTCCAAAATATCCAGCTGGGCATTCACACTCACACGTCTTCTTATTGACAGATCCGTCGCCACAATCCAAATTACATTCTAAGTAAAATACAAACGTCTCAAGTACATTGTTATACACGGGTGGTGCAAGTTCAGGAATGAGCATGAAATATAATAAAAGAAGCAGAATAAAAAGGAAAAACGAAAAAAAGAGGGAAAAATAAAAGAAAATTAGGAAAAGGAGGAGGAAGATGAGGATGAGAAGGTGATGATAACGATGAAGTCAAAAAGAATTAAAGAATAAATAAAAATGAAAATAAGAGAAAAGATATAGACTTTGAAGAAAAGCGGGAAGGAAAGGATTGAAACACACAAAATTAATAAGGTAGGTACATCATTATAATTAAAAATACGTCTGTAGGTACTTACTTGAACATGTTTCACCAGACCAATCTCCTTTACATTTACATTTGCAAGTTTGTGGATCCCGTACTCCGCCATTTTCGCATGGTGTATTTTCGCATTCTATAAAATTGGAGCAGAGTGGAAGAAACATAAATTTTACATAAATAATTGTTTACTATTACTGGTCAAACAGTAGTTTACCATTCTCAAATTGATTTGAGCATGGTAAGCTATCGTTCTAGTCATTATCATTACGTCTATGATTTTACGATAAAATTAAATTTGGGGTATTTTTATCACTGTCATTATAATATTATTTTTATCATTAGTATTACCATTTTTATTGCTATTGTACTATTATCTTGTTAATTATAATTCAGACATTATTTTTTTTCATTGTATATTTTTATAATTATAATTAGCCGATTAAAATATGGAATTTAGTAACTGAAGTTTTGTTATTGTAGGCCTATTGTTTCAACTAATATGAAAACCATAAAAGGATTACGTTATTAAAGTAGAATATAGTCTTGTAGTAATAATATTAAATCATCATTAAGAAGTAGAAGTACATACGACACAGTCCACAAAGCGCGGGACACAACTGTTCAACAGGTACATTATCGTCTGACTTGAAGCACCAATTTATTGGCCAGCCATTGGCACACCGATCGTCGAGGTTTTTGCAAGTGTCTAAAACAAATTATAAAGCGTTTATTACATTCATCGCATACGATGTACCTACCTTGTTCGTCGTTTAAACCCAATCAAATTCTTCGTATTCGATCCATCCTAAGCAATCGTTATAATAATGCCATGGACATTTTCCCCAAATAATTATTCAGATAATATTCGGTCAATAGTTATTATATTACGTACGTTTGGAAAACTTTAGAGAAGGATATAATTCTAGGTTGTACTGCAGGGGTACAGTTTTCTCTACAAACAAGGAGCTTTGTGTAAAGACCCAGCACATTCTATAGTAATAAGCTGGTGTTGCTCACACTATGGTAAACTTAGAACCGAAATGAGACTCCAAAAATAACACGATCATTACCATACATACCTGAACACGTAGCACCGGTGTAGCCATCACGGCAAGAGCATGAGCAATCTCGTCTGTTCAAAGTTCCGCCATTCTGGCATTTCTTGATGGCACACTCTGGGGGAAAAATAAATTACCAAGAGCAAGATCAATTTAAACGCGTTTTAACATTCTGTGAACGAAAATTTTGTATTAGATACTTCATAGCGCAATGGATCTAATTTGAGGAGTTACTTACCACAGCCGCTTTCAGACACATCACAAGTACCTGAACAGAAAAATAAGGAGTGATTATTAAGTTGAATTAAAATTTGAAAATTTTCAAGAATCAACACAACTAAGTAAAATCGATTAAACAAGGTCGAATTCTATCGATATAACTTACTACACAATCCATTTCGACACGTTCCCTTGCCTGAGGCGCATTCAGTGCATTTATCTCCGACTTTATATGGACGCAATTTACCTACGTTACCACTAAATAAAAATTAAAAATATTCCATAGTTATAATCAACGAAATATTGATTTGGAAAAATAGTGTTCAGAGCGATAAGTATTTTGCCAATACAAACTACACTCTGTTACGGAAGAGATCGTTGTCAAGCACTAGACCTATTGCCGTTGGCATTTCCCCACGGTACTTATGTAATTTATTAATTTATTTGCCCTATATATTTTTTAGATAAAGTGTAAATATATAAAAACTGTATATCTTACGCTGGGCCGTAATTGCAGACCAAGTATTTAGCCTCTTGGTCCTTTCCTGAGCCTGAAAGCTTTTTACAGACGTTAACACCACATCCAACGTACTTGCTCTGGGCCCAAGCTAGCTGTAAATAGGACAATAAATACACTCAGTACGATAATATGATTACACGACGACGATTACAAAATAACGTAATTTTGTCTTCAATACAATGACTACGACACATCTACGCGTCGATCATGTTGACGCTCCTCTAAGTTTAATAATATAGCCCTAATGGACTTTCTGCGGATTTTCAAATTTTAACAGTATATATTAATCTACAAATGAATTAAGATTCTTAAATAATAAATAGCTAAGCCTCCGCAAAATCAGAAGGTAAGTTGGTAATAATTATGACAATAATGATAATGAAATAATGATAATGGCGGTACTGTCAGTACCGCCATTATTATTATTTTCATTATCAGTAACTGATGATCTTGTTAACGCTGAGTATAATTATCATAATCATCATCATCACCATAATCATCATAATCTTCAAAATGATCATATCATCATCGTCGTCATCATCATCGTCATTATCATCAACATCATGGTCATCAACATCCCCATTAACAGAATTACTTTTCATCATCATCATCATCATCATCATCATCACCATAACCATTAAACGGTATGATATAGAGCCTACTATTCAGGCGCGGATTGGGCCTTTTTGGAAAGTAAAAAAAAAGAAAACATAAAGAAAGGAAAAGAACAAATTGATTGTCCAAAACGCCTGAGGTTATTTTCGGGCGTCTAGAAAACAAAAAAGAGTAGTGTTGTCTCGATCGACCCCACTTTCGGTGACCTCCCCTCCTCAAACCCCCCCCCCCCCCCCTTTTTTTTTCCCCGGACATCTTTGGATCTTCTGCCTCTGCTATTGTAATCACCATTTAATAATAACAATAAAGCAACTTTTACAAGTAAGCATTACAGTGTTAATAACTAATGGTTAAGTTAGTCTCTTTGAGAGAATATATTAAAGAAGATTCAAACGATATCATAATTGATGACGTACCTGCGTATAATGTCCACAAACTTTTCCCTTTGCGCAAGTATTATCCTTGAGGTTCCAGTGAGGTTTCTCCCATCTGACCCACCAGGAGGCTAGTATCTCTGGTTTAATTCGTTTGGTTCCAAACGCCAAATTTTGACCTACTGTTGGGTATGGGGAGGTATTTGTAGGGTTACCGTGCTTCCAGACACATTTGTCTGCCCATTTTTGTGCCATCTCTGCTAGTGAATTGTCCCAAAGCTAGAGAGTGAGAGAGAGAAAAAAAATAACGAATATTATTATTATTCAAAACAAATGAATTTTAAATTACTATTATTTATTGTAATGAACCTTTCTATTAAGGCCGGCACTCCTTATTATTTCTAATCCACAAACGAAAATCCGTACATTTATGGAGAAACAAGCGAGTATTCCTGGCTGTTCTGAATTGTCAGTTGTTGAGTTTGATTGGCATTTCCGGACATGTCCATTAGGAGAAAACAAAATGATGTAAACATAAATTCTTCATATATAGATCATTACCATAGTTTGAGCACCTATAGAGCGACCTATGAACCTAGAGCTATATAAATGCAGTTTAATAACTGATTCTATTATTATTATTATTATTATTATTATTATTATTATTATTATTATTATTATTAATATTATTATAATTATTATTATAATTATTATTATTATTATTGTTGTTGTTGTTGTTTTTATTATTATTATTACCATTACCATTACCATTATCATTATTTTCTTATTATTATTCTTCTTCTTCTTATTATTATTATTATTATTATTATTTATTATTATTTATTATTTTTATTATTTTTATCATTTTATCATGATTGTATTATTTCTATGAATTTTATCTGAAAACATGTGACTGAATAGAATAGAAGTAGGCCCCTACGTTTTAAGCTGTTTTAAAATAGAAAGTGAGGGGCGGGGTGGGGGGAGTGGTCGACTTATCCTTCTATGATCTATCTACGAACCAATTTTGAAAGTCCTCAACTGACATAGTTAAGGGTATATTCACTAAGTACAGAACAAATGTGGAACATCTTCTTATACAGAATGTGTGTAATATCGTCTTAGGCCTACAAAATACTTCATTCACATTGGATCATAAACATTAGATACTATAATGAAAAACAAACAGACAAAGGCCTACCATTTCTTCCATGTCCGAGGCAGGACCATCGGCCATAGATCTGAATTTGTTATGAACATTAAGCAACGCATTTTTCGTTTTCGACGAAATTCCTCGTTTCTTTGGAGCACGCTTTTCCATTGCACCTTCTCCCTATGTAAAAACGTATCTTATTGTAAGTTGAATAAGTACAATTGCGTGAGAAGTAGTTCTATTAATGTACCATTAGCCTAGGCATCAATTTGAAACATTTGAGTTAGTTTATAAACCATTGAACATTTGTGTAAAGAAATGCAATAGTACAGCTGTAACAGTATAAGAGTACCTGGTATGAGGTAAATGACTTGAAATAAAACTTGGAAAGGGCTTATAAGCACTATAGTGTTTGGTTTTTTTTTAGTACTCCCCGAGGAATGGGGGCCGTGTATAATGCGTATTGCTGTGTAAGTAGGCCTAATGGTCAGGAAAAAGTAAGCACATAAGACAACATTACTGTATTACTGTTATTATAATATAATAATGACAACAAATGAGGACCGCGTTGACCATAATGTTATGCGTTATTTATATTTTTCTGTACCAGTATATAAAATCGTACCCTGTACATCGTTACTGAGTAAAATAAAAAATTCATAATATATATATATATATAACGTATGTATAATGTATATATTATATATATTATATAAATATTTATATACATTGTGTAATATACATACATTGTGTAATAAAATGCCTCTGCCTGGATTCGAACATTTCTTTGATGATTTATATATATAATTTAACAGTGTACATATATATAGGCCTATACATATACATATATATATATATACATATATAGGCCTATATATATATAGGCATGTAACAATAATAATAAATGGGCCTAATAGTAGCATTATTAATCAATTAACATTAATTATTCTTTATTTGTTGTGCATTGACAAATGAGCAGGTGTTCATTACTAAACACAAATTAATAGTAACATATTAAATGTTAAACTATGTTTATAAATTAAATTAATAAACTAAAATAGTATGACATGTTTGTATCAATAATTATTTAAAAAAAAAACACATTAAAATTTGCTTTAAAAAATTCAAAACAACTTACAAATTCTACATTATCAGTTAACATCGTTCGTATATCTTCATCTTCTCCGTATTTCTCTAAAACATGGTTTTCGGCTAGAACAACGGCAGCACATATACACAGAGTAAGAAAATGTAATCCAAGCATGGTTTAATAGCAAAATCTTTAGATGGTTGCTGTGATTTTTAATGTATTTCTCGCGCACACAAATACTGAGTCTAAACATCTTGAAGGCTTCTTTTATTGTCGCACTCAACAAAAACATGCATGATTCTGATTGGCTGACACGTTAAAAGTAAAGAAATAGCTTAATTGAGCGTCAGTAAATATGTCACACTAACTTTTCGACTCGCTTTAGTTCGTGAAGTCCATATTTTATTTTGGAGAATTAAAACTAGGTACAAGTAGGGCAAAGCAATTAACCCGTCAATCATCAGGTGAATTTGCAGTGTCATTGTGCTGAATTGCGTAACGGGTGTGGTCAGTGTATATTGCAACTTGTAATTTTTAATTTCCGATTATTTAAACTTATCTGGGACAGTTTGTGTTTTATTTTAAGTTGTAATCAATTTGTTCCAATTTTGTTATATATTGTTGGAAAAGAATTTTTAATTTCCGATTATTTAAACTTTCTGGGACAGTTTGTGTTTTATTTTAAGTTGTAATCAATTTGTTCCAATTTTGTTATATGTTGTTGGAAAGTACCATTTTTATTCAAAGGTTGACTATGTGAAACGTATTTATGGGAGAGAATTAGGAACTGTTTGCAGTGGCGGATCCAGAGCAGCAGCCTAAAATCATGTGATTAAAGTCCAAACACTCGTGCCTCTTGGAAACCAAAAATAGCTAAGGAACCACTCATACCCACCTAGTCATTTCAGCCGATAGGTTGACCTTCCCTATAGGTCCTCGGTTGCCATGTATGTCAATCTCAATCTCATTATAAATATATATGTATATATATATATATATATATACATATATATATATATACATATATATATATATATATATTATTTCAATCCTCAATATGCATTACATATATTACAATTATTAAAATAAAAATATGTTATATGACTGTTAGTTATGTAACGTATTGTAAGGCAAAATCAATGTAATTAAATGAAATAATTAATTTTTGCTAATAATGTAGTCTATTATTATGCATTTACTTATATTAAAAATTGTTCAGTCTTGTTGTACGTGTCCATTCAATCGCTACACGCTATCACTGACTCCTTTGTTGGCGACGCTGATTGGTCAGTGAATCAGTGAGCGTTCCTTGTTACGTCGGGGCAGGGAACAGTGAAATTAGTGCGTCGGGGACAGCTACGCGGTGCAAGGATTGCAGTAAAAACGTTGTAGCGACTGTGTAGCGATTCTATGGAAACCAGGCTTCAGTGTGATATATACTCTAGGCCTATAGTTTAATGAGTTCATACTAGCATAGCGTAAACTATGACGTGTCCACCACAACATTACACCTAACGATGATTGTCATCTTGACATGAATTAGCGGTATGCTTTGTGATATGTTAAGACAATCATTAAAGATTATTTAAATACTATTTGTTACGGTATCACAACTACGGTGTACATATTGTACATTTTCACAGAAGTTCTCGTAAAACTCATAGCAATTGCGTCATCAGCATGGCTTGTTTTTTCCATCAACACTTATATACTTATTGAACTGTAAATAGGTTTTGTACTGTCTTTTTTCAAGTAATCCATGTACTCCCACTTGCCCGCGTCAAAATCAAAAGCCACTAGTTGTAGGACGCTGTACTATATAAAGTACTTATTCGAAGGACGCCTCAGCAGTTTATTGTTCATAAAAGTTTATGAGGGGTAGTTTATTCGAGGGAGGAGTGTATTAAATGGAGGCGAATATGTGTAAAACGGATAGTGGCCTATATAAAAATTAACGCCCCTTCATTCATTGTGAAATAAAGAACACAACACAAGAATTTAAAAAAAAAACAACAAAAAAACACAACTTAGACCTTGAAACTACTGTTCGAAAGTTTAAGTCTAAACATAGAGAAAATAGAACTGTTCTATTTGCTCTATGGTCTAAAAAAGTTGTTTGTGAGAACGTTTTTTATCTTTGTAGATAGATAGATAGATAGATAGATAGATAGCTTTATTTGTCCTCGTACAGTAAAACAGGAAATTCATCTTCCATTGGCAAATATTCATTACATTACAATATGTTGCTGTTCTACATTTCACGATGTAATGTATATATACATGTTACTTTATCTAAATGATTTGAATAAGGCTGACACATTGTTCACTGTAACACACAATTTGGAGAGATTGGGCAGTTAGAGAGATGGTTACTTAGATTCCCCCACGTTTATTCGAGGAGGTCGTTTACGACAATGTGTTGTGGAGGAGCGTTCCAATGGGGCATGTATTCAAAGAGGAGCGTATAACCAAATGTACGGTATATTACGGTACCGAAACTTATCCAATACACTTTGTCGCATTCGTTCGAAGTTACAAATTCTGGCTCGTTGTATCCTTTTGTATATTAATAGGCCAAATAGAAATTTTATTTATGACCATCTTATTACACACGAGGAAAATATTTTACAAACATTGGTTTTAGGCCTATTGAATAAAACCTAATCAATGCCGACTGAATATTGTGTTCAGTATTCAGATATTGTATTGCATTTGTTATAGCTTTGTGCCCTATGTTTCTTTTTATACCACAACAGAAGTTTTATTATAAATGTAATTTAATTTAAATTTGATGTCAAAAATATAAATAGGCATACTTTGATTTTAAAAAAGTAAAGTAGGCCTATCCAACTCTATATCACATTTTGTTTGCTTTTTTTTAATAATGTTAGTAAATTACTTGATTAAGACAAAATATAGAAACTCATTCCTCCTTTTGTCGCCAACCTGTGTTAGCGTTACAGATGTAATTACCATTTTCTAATAATATTTCTTCTTAAATGCTTCATCGACTCCACTATCCTTAATTCACTAGTTTTCTTACGTCGTGGTCAGATAATGGTCTGGTTTAACTGCAACACTCACAGACAAACTATCTAAATGCAATTTTTACATAAATAATATGTGATAGACTAGTGACAGCATCAACGTATAACTTGGAGTTCAATTGACATTTTCGCTAAGCCACGCCCCTTGGATATTGTTGCTAAGGTCCCACAAAAAGATAGCCTAAACAAGCACGCACGCACGCACGTATTACTGGTCCTGATTGGCAGGTGTTAATTCCCGTGTCCAGACTATCAAATTTTATTTAACAAGAAACATGCGACATGCCTAAATATGGTAATGATGATGTCACATCATGACCATGACCATACATAGGCACGTCATGACTATATATGGTCATACACCAGTTTTTTGGTCAAAAGAAAATTTGATACTTCTGGACAGAGCGTCAAGTTTGATTGACAGTCGTGAAAGGTCCATTAGTATAATGGTGGTAAAGTGGTCTGGCGTATGTTATACAATAGCTGTATATATTAGCTTTCCGTATATTATGGAAAATATGTCATGACCAAAACAAATTATTATATACAGGTCCTCCTTTAGGAAAATGTTTAAAAGCACTTCGATGTTGAACAACATAATCAATACTGTAAAAATCAAAGAAAACCATTTTTTCGAGAATTATTAAATGGTTTTTGAATAGGCCTTATATTATCGCTGTTAAAACCACCATCTTTAAATTGCAAAAAAATATGACCTGATCCAATATAAAATACCCAATAACGAACAGTAACGTGAGTGTCTGTTTTTTGTTTGTTTGTTTTGCTTTGCTTTTGTTTTTGTTTTTTGTTTTTGTTTTTCGTTTTTTTCCCCCTTATAGAACAAATTACCGGCACGGTTTCGATCTTCAAATAATGTAGGTCTCGGCAACTTCGATAAAATATTGATAGGCCTACATACAAATGATTGTGAACTGTGACCTGAAGTATTGCAATATTCTAATGACAGACCATCTCATTAAGACTCATTACGGAAATTTAGAAACACAATTAAGAATCCCCAACTGACAAATACTAAATATCCTGGAGAAGTCAAACGGTCACTATCCTGTATCGTCAGATATTTGACCGTCCTTTGGGAAAATCTGAAGGAAAGTGTCTGAAGGTGATATTGACGTTCTTGTTACATTGTCGACGATAACATCTTCATACACAATCTCTTTAAAAACTATTAATTTGTTTAACTATTTAATTTTTATCGATTTATCACCAGGCCTATAAAGATCATATGCATAGGAATGAAAAACCTTCGATATCAATGTTGATTTCTACCGGTACCCATTATTACAATCCTGAGTGAATAGAAACACATTAGAACACACTCAAACTTACGGTATGTGAACGTGCCTATTGATGTGACAAACTCGAACTCATGACCCCTAATTCGGGAGCCCAAACCTACCGCATCACTTCCATAATATGAAAACATGAAAAGACCGCTAATTACTTTGAAAGATGTTAGTACTCCGCCTAAGTGATTCTCTCATATACGGCGATCGACAAGAGGCTAACGCAATAATATCTACAATTATACAGCATTTTAACGAAAATTGTTCCTTTCCATAGAAACTGGATTTCATTCCGCATAAAAATATGGCTTAACTGTTTTTTCTTTTTACCCACAGAGTTTAATAGTTGTCTAATTGCTACCGACTGTTCATTTCAACATCCATGAATAGTCAGCTAATCCGACTGAGAGACGTAAATATTTCTCAAAGTGCTCCGCCTCCGTAATTGGTCGAACTACACGTTTATCTTTCTCCCTGTCATTTTAATCTTCCCAACTTCGTCATTATCATCGTTATCATTCAGATGATTATTTTTAGACCTATCACCTTAATCATGGAGTTACCAGCGCAGTGATAACGTCACAAAACACAAGTTTACTCTTTTGGACCAATTTAGTCTACGTCAATACTAATGTTTTTTCACACAAATTCATAAATGCGACATAAACATATATAAAATGACATGTGGTTCGTATAGAAAGTACAACTACATGATTGACATTTTAGACACTTGTAAATATAAATATGATGACGAACATTAAAATTTTCGTCATCTAAAAAACATTTTTGAGGCAGACTTTTTGAGCATTCGTGTTTGCCAGACAAGATCACAAATTCGCAAAATAAAGCAAAAATGGAGAGATGTAGTACCGGTAGTTATTAGGCAAAATAGATTAAACTTTTCGCGATACATTTTGTAATTGGATGTCAACGCACCAGCACATAAGGCCCTGGTCGATGATAGCAGATTAGTCAAAAGACCAGTAAATAGAGACCAGAACTGGTAGTTATCAGCAGTTGGATATATATACGTGTTTTGTTTTTATTCTTTATATTTCCTATCATATTTGTTATAGACATGAAAAAAATCAGAACAAAATTTGGCAGTAATTGACATCACAACGTATATTAACCCAACCAAAGTAAAAAGTACCGTAAAATGTTAACGTCAGATCGACGGGTATATATACGTGGTTTTTTTTATTTCCTCTCTTTGTTATTTGGAAAAAAAATCCAAACCGTAAATTTGGCAGTACTGTAATTGACATCACATTGTGTATTAACCAAACCAAAAGAACCAATAATACACATGCTGCTATATTAAATATACGGTATTTTTAATCGTATACGTAAGTAAGAAGTACTGTAAAATGTCAACGTTGGATTGGCAAGCATTGTAATCTCTCATTAATAGTCAACGCCATGGATATTATAAAATGTTATAATGATATAGAAAACGTTCACGTAGCTCAACTTGTCAGTTTAATCGTATAGACGCTATTTTAAAGACGCAAAGGTTCATCGCCCGCCAAATCAGTAAACAAGTTAATCATCGTACAAATGACAATGGTATTTTGAAATGCCTAATAGAAATGTAAAATGTTCTAAAAATGTACGGTAATTAATTCAAATGTGTTTTTTTAAAAACAAGTCCAGAAACATTTAGATACGGTTGCAAATCCGAGAATGATCAAAGTCGACAAGAGCGAGATATTGGCATTTTGTAGAGAATTTAAAACAAAGGTCTACGTAAGTAGTCTGTTTTTTTTTAAAAACATTTTCCACAATCGATATTTCTTGATAGCATGTCTATAATAATACTCCATTATTTCCAAATGAAAGTGATGATAAATTCCTGATAAGTCGATTAAAGAGGGTGGTCTAAAAATGTACAAAGTAGGTTCGTCATTAACGGTCAATTAACGATGATATTAAAATGGTTCACTTCACGGGTGATGAACAATTGAACGCCACTGGCTGCTCACTTCCGGATGGAATAGGCTAAATTACTATAAATGTAAATTAATGTCACCGTAACATCTTTTTAAGCATGTATCTAACATTATCATTAATGTAATCCACGATGCAAGTAGGCCTATTGAAGCATTTATCAGAATAGAGTTTGTATTCCTTCCAATCTAACAACATTCAGCAGTTACAGAATTTGATGCTTTATAACCAAGTCTCTTAATGTCATCGTAACATTCTTTTCAAGCTTGTATCTAAAAGTATCATTAATGTAATCCACAATGTAAGTAGGCCTATTGAAACATTTATCAGAATAGAGCTCAAGTTTTATTCCTTCCAATCTAACAACTTATATCCAGCAGTTACAGAATGATATTATGCTTTACAGGCGCAGATCAGTAGGGGACACAAGGGAACGTGCCCCCTCGTTTTGCCACTAAATTTTAAAACGTCAATGCCAACCCCTTCCCCACTTTAAAAAAATTCTGGATCTGACTCTGCTTCATAATTTAGTCACTTAGGGACGCTTTAGGAGTGGAGTAATACATTATTTGAACCCATGACCTTAAAGTTAGAAATCAAGCATCATACAACTACAGATTCATTTTGTTTTTTCGTGACCCCCATATGGGGTCAATTATTATCATTTATTTATGGCTGAAACTGCTGTACCTCAAGAAAGGTCACGACACTATATACTACCGTATTAATTGATCTCTATGAAAGCATTATTTTGAAACTGAAGGCTGAATCTAAAAGTAAATTGTCATAAGTTCAACAGTTATTTTACAAACGTTCTGTCCCTCATATACAACAGCTGTTGACCGAGAAATAAATCGGTGTATACATTGCATATTACTTCTCTACATGTTAACAATGTTTTTAATCATGTTGCTCGTAAAAAGTTGGTACTACAGTACTACAAACAACAAATTACAATCGAACACATTCAATATTAGGTCTATATTATGTCTCAATTGAATATGGAAAATACTTAATCAAATACCAAGTGTTTTTATCGAACTGGTAGCTCCCTGTTTATCTCTCGAATTATAGATTAAAAAAAGATCAAGTGTTGGTGTGATTAACAATCTTTGCATCGTGAAGCAGTTGTTACATCACTTGTGTTTCTGGAATTTAAACGTGAAGCGTTAAGTATGAACTAAAGTGTACTTTAGTTGGTAGTTGCGTGATCCGCACTTCAATAAAGGTGATTAAGGCGTGAACAAAAGCAAGCAATTCCGTTTTTAACTGCCATGAAGCCATATCATATTTTGTGTGTCGGTTATCTTTAAAATACACATGCATTCCTTTACTCCCGATTGGTAAACATTAAGGTCATGGGTTCGATTCCCACTAGAATATTTTTTTTTAAGTAGGCCTACTTGGGAATGTACAGGTAGGGCAAAAAACATCATCTCATTATCAAACCATTTCTCAAAATGACAAAATTAAAACATAGACACATAATTGAATATTCTTGAACGAATTTATTAATTTCATAATTTAAGTATAAATGGTGTGTAAATCCATTAATATATTTTGTTGAAGTATATTTGTGGCACAAATAAATATTCTTTTGAACATTTATGACAGAGTTATATTGGTGCTACTTTTAATCAATTATGGCCCACCATCACCTATCCTATGTATGGTAACTACTAGGCTAACAGAACCTTTCTGGAATGTCAATCAAACTTAACAATTGACCAATCAGATCAAGGACAGGAATAAGCGCATCCTACAAACACATGGGTTGTCCCACAAACACAAGAATTTGCGTATGTTTTTACACTAGGGAGCTTTCGATTGCACGACAACGGTCGGACGTAGAACATAATGACTTCACTAAAAGTCATCTGCGCAAGCGAGAACATTAAGGTCACCTCGTCGAGTAGATTCTGGAACGCAATTTGGCCAAATCTACGTATGCAGAGAATGTAGGACGCCAGGTAGGATGGTCACGCATGAGTGATTCCGTTCTAACGTCGCGCCGTCGCACAAATCGAAAGCTAACTACTGTCATTTTCTGGGACTTTAGCAAAAATATCCAAGTTGGTTGAGCTTAGCAGAAAGGTCAATTGAGCATACCTTGTGATACCTGTTTTATAATTTTCTCAGCGATCTACAAGCTACTGTAGTTTCTAGCTTAAATATAGCTCCCCAATGTGTGAGTACAGTTATATATGTTGAACATTTCATATGCTAAAACAATTGATTGTCACTAAAACTGTTGAAAAAACTGGCAGTCTTTACTGAGTGACAATTATTTCATTCAGCTTTCTTCATCTTCAATGAAAAAATTTAACAGTGGCACCTTGATAGCAAGAGGTTGCAGGTTCGAATCCTGCATATATATGCTGTGTGTTTCATATGCAAAAACAAACGATTGTCACTTAACTGTTAAATAAACTTGCAGCTGTCTTTACAGTGACAATTATTTCATTCAACTTTCTTCACCTTCAACAACATAATTTAACAGTGGCACCTTGGATGCAAACACCACTTTCTTTAACGTCCTTTTGTTCAAATGCAATTTTCCTACATCACTCTCTGTCACAAGTCGTCGGATTTCTTCTTCATTGTCTCGTGCAAGTACTGGGACCATTATATGTCCTTTTGTTTGGTTGTTAATCTGAAGAGTGAAAAATGTGTCATTAAATTCACCAAAAATTATTTTGACATTTTGATGTTTAAGTGCAGGCCTAATATTTATGAATACACTGACATACCTTGATAACAACTTTAACCACTTCATCTTTACAAACTACCTTTTCATCTAATACTGGCCAACTTTGTTCTAACACTGTTTTATCCTGCAAATACAAAAAGAAAGTGATATATTAAATTGCAATTACACATTACAGTTGACTGTGATACTAATACTAACAATATCATATTGGTAGATTGATATTTTTATTGCCATTATTATTATCATTCTCCTTATGATTTTAAGACAACATACAGTAGAATTAAGGGGACACCTTCGGAACCAGAAAGGGGGTGTCCCCTGAATTCATAATAATTTATATTTACATATACATTCACAAATTATTACATACTTAATTTAATCACTGAAAATGAAAAGAATTTTCCTTACCCACTGAAATTGACTTGAAGGCTGAGCAACACTAGCTAGTCCTTGCCACATCTCAGAGGCAATATGAGGCGCCATTGGAGCAAGCATTATGCAAAGGCTAGCCAAGGCATCTTCATAGTTGACACTGGACATTACAGTAGCATCTGGAACTGACCTCAGGACACTTGTTAGGGTCATCAACCTCGAAATGGCAACACTCAACATATGATCCTTGGTGTACTGTTCACTAACCTAAAGATATAAAATAAAGCATTGAAATCAGAACAACCAAAATTCTGTGGAAGTCATGTGGTGCAGACTTCAGGCATACAATTAAGAGGCCATGAGTTTGAGACAGACCATAGGCAGATTAATCAAAGTGGGTGGGGGGAGCAGACATTTTTAAAATCAAAATAAAATGGGAAAAAAAAGAAAATTACATATTTGAAATCTGAGAGTACCACTTCCCCACCACGGGGTGGTGCAGACTCTCCATGTCTAAAAGTCCATCACTGGGTACCCGCTAATTTTAATTCCTGGATCGACCACTGCAGTAGTATAAATGGCTACCTTGAAAAAATTGAATGATCTACAAGAAAATGCTAGTACTCACTTCTTTGATTGCAGTATTTTTTTCAATTAATAATTTATCCTCAATTTTGTGATTTACTTCATTAGTAGTTGGAGTCTCATCTTTTTTTAAATTAATGTATCTTGTTATTAGTTGCCACATTCTGTTCTTCCATCGAACTATGCCAATAATTGCTGGAAAAAACAATATAAAAGACATTTTTGAAATATAAACTTTAAAATATAATTCTATGATGTGTTTTATGCATGAATTTAGAATTGGAATTAACAAATTTATCATCATTACTATAACCATCTTGGCCATTTTAATCATTAACTTTATCACTATCATCATCATCATTTAAATATTAATATTACCAACTTATTACATTAGGTTGTATTTAATGATCCACCATCCCTTCTAATAGTTTTAAATTTATGCATTGAATTCTTTAAATCGTTATTCACACAAAACAAAAGTATGAATGTCACTGCAACAACAATTCATTATTTGCTTGATCAAGGCTACTGAAGCTAGTAGCTGAAACGTAGCTGGTAAATCCCGTTTAATAATTAGGTTATCTTTGTAGAACAAGTACTTTATTCCTCATTTGTTTTGTAATTGAAATGAATTGATTTGATTGGATAATAATAATCATCATCATAATAAATATTAATATCAATAATAATAATAATCATCATCACCAGCACTATTACATTACACACCATCACATCACCACCTGCATCATTGCCACTATCACTATCATTACCAATAGGCACATACCTGTAAAACAGATAGATATTCATATCTTACCATCAACATTCCACATCATATTCAGTTGAGGGGGTACACCACTCAGAATAGCGAGTCTGATGGTGTCCACTCCATATTCTGCTACTGTTTCTACTGGGTCCACTCCATTGTGTTTGGATTTACTCATCTTTTCAAATTTCATTAGAAGCTTTTCTCCGCTAATTTTTTCAACAGGTTCATTTCCTAAAATAGACAAATAATAATAATAATAATAATAACAATAATAATAATAATAATAATTTGCATATTATATTTTTAGTTATATTAATTTTATGTAGTAATGCTTGTATCTAATTATTTTCTGATGATTGTATTTATATTTGTAGTTAAGATGTTTTCTGTAATTTGTAACGTTACATGTTGAGGGGACCCAAAAGATCAGCTTCTGCTGGATGGTTCACCCTCATTAAATAGGTTATAGTCAAACATAACTTTCTACAATACAACAAACCTGAAAAATCAATTTGTTCCTTCCTAAGGTACTGTCCAGTAGACGGTAGCCTATAGCTAGGCCCCATCACAAGGCCTTGGACCAGCAGACGTTGGAAAGGTTCCTTGTGTTTCAGCAAGCCTTCGCCGTATAAGAAATGGTTGATGAACCTTGCATATAAAAGATGCATAATAGCTGAAAATAATAAACAAATTACTCTCATAGTGGTGGTGTAGCTTGGTGCCTTAGGTACTTTCTTTGTTTTCTGAAAACTAAAGAACACCTCCACACCCTAATTAGTAAAATAAGCGCATCATAGTATTTCATATTGATGATGGCCCCTGAATTTAAGCTGACTTTCTGGGATAAGCTTGGAGGGTCACCCTTTATAAATATGGTTCTAAAATCCATCTAAATGAACTATTTTTCAGCCAGAAACTAACCACAAATGAACTTACCATGTTCTTTACCCCCAATGTATAAATCAACTGGCATAAGCCGGTTGGCAACTTCACTATTAAACTCTTCCTGTTCATTATGTGGGTCCGTGTAACGCAGAAAATACCAAGCAGAATCTACAAACGTGTCCATGGTATCGGTCTCACGTTGGGATGGTTGACCGCATTTGGGGCAATCGGTGTTGTACCAGTCAGAGACCTGTTGAAGTGGGGATTTCCCTTTTCCTGTTAGTGTATCAAGTTTTGGAAGTTGGACTGGGAGTTGATGAGTTGGTACTGGTACTGCCTACAGGGGAAGAGACAACAAGAATTAATAGCAAAATGTATTTGGGAGTATGTTATACAGCGCTAAGTCTTTAGGCTATCAGTTCTGAGGCTGGTCAAATGCCTTCAGTCAAGGCATTCTCTTTTTTCATCATGGGGGCTAAATGAGCACCGTGTAGATTATATTCCTTTACATTATTAAGCACTTATTTGTTGTAACGGTTGGTGCACTGGCTGCAAATCTAGCATTAAACTTTTAGGTCTGAGCTTTAAAACCAGCTGGTATAATGCATTCTCCTTCCTAATTTACTTTTCATCAAAGCAACTGAATTATTCAACAGAACAAATCTTTTCTACTGTACCTTACAATTTTGGCAGTGTATGATGGGTATTGGCGTTCCCCAGTATCGCTGTCTTGAAATCAACCAATCAAACTGCCTCCCACTGGTCATATGACCACCTATATCTTGTTGCCTTGCTTTTTCCATGATTGCTTCCTTTGCCTCAGCTCGGCTCATCCCTGTGAACTGTCAACAAATCAATCATGTCAAGTAGATGAAAGCTTTGCCATCTGTGAACAACATTTTCATCATCTTCAATTATTACTAATTCACCAGTAACATGTACTAAATCACTTATATCTATTACTATATCAGCACATCTATGTATTCGCTAAGTGTTTTCAGTGCAATCGTTGTACTTCGTGGCTGTCCCCGACGCAATCGGCATCACCTGACCAATCAGCATCACCGAATGCTGCTGGCGATAGCATGTAGCAATTGTATGGAAACCAAGCTTAAGAGTAGTGGACCATAATTATACAAATATTAAATGTTTATGAATGCAATGGAAAGAATGTTTTCATGAGTTGAAGGATTGAGTGAACAAGGTGGGTAATTATAAAAGCATGGTCACAAATAGAGTACAGGTATACAATCAGACCTTTAAAGACGCTTATCCGAGCTGAAATCAATATCATTAATACGTGAATCAGGTAACCCACCTCATTTGAGTTCATCAGCTTTTCATGATTGTCAAGGACAGTTGTGTACTTGATGCTGTGTATATCTGCAAACATCTGATCTTGTTCAACAGCACCTGGCACACCAGCATACTGTTCAACGTAATCTGGGAATGGATGTTTACTGGACACAACCAGAGGAATTGGTTGCTTGGTGAATGGATGTATGGCAGACACACCAAGTGCAACATCTTAGCAGGAAATGAAAAACAATCAATTCATTAAGTTTCTTGGTGTGGGGGAGAAGTCATCCATTTTTTCAACATTTCCAAGAGATTAAAAAACCCATTTTTTAATGACCCCCATTCCTCCTCTAAAAGTGTATACATTCAATGTTTTTCATACAAGGGTACATCACCTTTCCCCCATCCAAAGTATGTGGTTTGTACTCTTGTGAAAATTATGGTAATAATGAATGAACGGCCCCTAAGTAATTTTTTCCATATTCATTACATTGTAGCTTTAAAATAGTAATAGCTCACCTATCTGTTTTGAAGAGATTTCATTGAGTGTTTGTTGAACATCTGGGTTAATAATTTGTAGCAGACTCTCAGACTTCAGAAGAATATGAGTAGGAGCAATCAGAATGTAGGCAACACCAAAGACAAGCTCTGGACTACTAAGATGAACAGCAAGCGAAATGGATTTGTCATCACCAGCTAACTGTTTGCATAATAAACAATTTTTAGAGAATGTTTACAGTACCAGTTACATAAAATTAAGTAAGGTTATTAGCATTAATAATTGACAGGTTTCGCTTGGTGATATGTCTAAGTGGTCAATTATTTAGCAATGTTTCTATGCTTTTGCACAATTTTTCATCTTTATCGTCTCTTTATCTTATAACTCACAGATATATGGTATTATTAATAAATTTGGGTTTTTCTTCATACCTGAAGCTCAAATTCAAACGAACAACCACTGCAATCACCGATCCAATTTTCTTGCATACTCTTGATAGAATCCGGCCATTCCTTCAAATCCTCAAGACCATCGAGTAAGGACTAATTTGCATAAATAAACAAGCAAATTAATAATTGTAATTTACTGTAAATGGTAAGATAGCCCATCAGAGTAGAGAGGAATAGCAAACACAATATATAACTTGCTTACTTCTAGATCAACCTAAAAATTAATTGCATAAATGTGTGAAACGAAAAGGGTAAACTTACCTTTGAGTAGTGAGTCATCTTTAAGTACCATTGCTTTAAAACCTTCTGTTCTACTTTAGCACCTGACCTCCATGAACAACCATCCTCATCAACCTTTTAGGAATCGTCAACAAATTATATACACATAATGAATATATTGATTACATCAGGTAATAGTAAACTTTGAACTATTTTGTAGGAGTTGTCTTGTGAGAATTACCTGTTCGTTAGCTAAAACTGTTTGATCGACTGGATCCCAGTTAACGAGAGCTTCTTTCTGGTAAGCTAGGCCTGCATTGAACAGACGGACAAAGATGCTCTGGGTCCAGCGATAGTAATCAGGCTTACAGGTTGTTACCTCCTGTAATGTACAAATATAATTTGTGTCATGTTATGTAGTTACATTACAATATATCAACCAGTCCACCATTTACTGTAGATAAACTTAGCACATGCAGCCCAACAGAAAAAAATTAAATAAAAAATCCCTATGTTTGTTCTAGCCAACCATTTTTGGCTAGAAACTCCTTGTTTTCTACGGTCCAACACTGATCATCTGTCAAAAAGTAATATTAGAACTGAGCATAAAGTGGTATAAAAGCAATCCAGGAAGATTTTTGGAAGGAAACTTGGAACATCAAAGTTTGGGTGTGCAGCCCTCTGTGTTATTTTTAAAATTCACTTTCACCCTCTGAGCATTTTTAAGCCCACTCCTGACCTAGAACTCTATAACTCAGAATTGCAGACTAAATCCTTATTTAGAAGAATTTCAACAGAATCAAATACTTACCCTTTCCCAATTGAAACACATACTAAGGCTCTTCAGCTGATTTTTCATATGCTCTATATTACTATAAGAAATATATATAAAATAATAAAAATAATTATTTTCATAAAATTTCAACAGTTTTAATTAACTAGTTTTTAATTTTGTTTACCTGTATGTCCAGTCATCTGGTCGTAAGTCTCTTTCAATGGCTGCATTTTCAGCTGGTAGTCCAAAGCTATCCCAACCCATAGGATGCAGCACCTGATGAAAAAAAAAATATATTGCAAGATTCTTCTTAGCCAACATGAGAATTAACATCAGATGTATAGAGATAAGTACTCAAGCTCTGCTCACATCATTAAGATTTTTGTAACAAATACATTTTCCCAAATCAGTTAAATGATATCATGTGACATAATATGATCACGTCCATATGTATTAAGTGATATAACATCACGTAAGCCCATAAACATGTGTGATATGACATCATCGTGTCCATATTTGGGCAAATTCCACTACTGGACACTTCAGAAGAAAACACAATGTAGGTAGTGTATTTACCTGCTTACCATTCATGCGATGGAAATGCGCCATTGTATCACTGATGGTATACACACGCACATGGCCCATGTGCAGTTTGCCTGACGGATATGGGAACATGGAAAGCACATAGTACTTGGGCTTCTTATCCTGTAATTAAAATTTAAAATATATATGGTCAAAATTTTGAGCAATCTGAGCTTGGCAGTCAGCAACATACCAATTACAAAAACTTCTCTAGACCTCTTTATCCAATTGTAATCTTTCATCCACTCAAAGAATCCAACTATAACAGTCTTCTATCCTGTATATACAATCTAGTAACAATACCTACAAGCATTATGCATTATTTAAGATTAAGTGTCCAACATGTCAATAATTGTTTTTGCTTGCGCTCTTGAGTAAGATTTCTCAATCTCCTCATCCTTCTGATAGGGTGTTACTTGTGGTCCCCATATACTGTACTTAGTACATGAGCACAAATATGCTAGGTGTGGTGGCCATTGTCCATTGTAGGTGCTAAGCTGTTGTGGGTCCCAGGGACCTAATAAATATTTCATTGGTAATTTTCAAATGGGACCATATAACATGTGATACTAACATTTCTATTTATTGTCAGGGTTTCATTATATTTCTGCAACCACTTTTGCCATGATTCCTCCACTTTCTTCCATGTGTCAACGCTGAAATCATTTTTCTGAAATTTGAGTACAAGAGAGTATTTGAAACATTGTAAACTAAATATATAAAAGTAGTGATCAATTGCTTTTAATTAAATATTATAACAAAAAAATGTAAAATTGATAGGCCTGTATTCGTTTTAACTTTTGTGCAACAAAATAAACGACATAACATGAATCCTTCATTCATCATACCCATTCCCACTAGAGGATGATAAATACCGGATCGTAAATTTTGAGGAAAATGTTTTTAGTAGTTTAATTGATGAATACACATGATTCTCTTTATAGGTAGTTAACAAATTGTAGTTAAAGAAATAATCTTACCCATTTTCCTGTTATACTATATATTTGTCTTGTGATGTTTATGAAGCCATATCTACAAGGACTACTGAAGTACATCAATTTACCAGGTGGCAGGAACATCTCTAGTGTCGGGTCCGTATCATCAGCAGAGGTCTACAACTTTAAAGGATCGTGTATCATCAGGCATACTTAATATTAAGATAATATAAAAAATCTGACAGAACATGTGTCTTGAAATATAACTGTAGTGTGTAATTTAATATTGAAATTGAAAACAGCTTTCCACCAAGTCAGAATTCTTAAAGGCAAAACTACAGGGTTTGTGGATGACCCAGTAACATGGGATACCAAATTATGAGGACATTTTTTTCTGGAGCTGTTTCAAATATTGTTTAGTAGGATACTGACTGGATAGCAAAAGACTATAAATTGTTTAATGCTTATTAGACTATAAATACACCGTACTCACACGAATAAGCATCCGGGTGGTAACAATACTCAATTCAATTAAAATCAAAGATACATTTTATTGACCATTTATTAAAGTATAGTATATGAAAACGCAACAAAAAGAATAGCATGAAGCACATACTAAATTCCATTGTTTCAATCACAAGATCATGTTGCAATCATGAATATATCACCGTAAATGGAAGAAAGAGAATATAGCAGAAAGATATTTTGTTAGTGGAAAGATAGCAAAACAATAATACTTAGGCCTATGATAAATTCACGAACTAAAATATATAGAGCCTAGGCATATTAAATTTTTCGTTTTCGCAACTCCTTCGGCGCTCCATATATTTGTTCGAAATAAACCGCGACCGAAACAAAGCGCGACCGAAATGATGGGCTACCGGTAGTTTAGGTACTACCTCCTCCGGCTTAGTTAGTTAGACGGCTGCTCACTAGTGTTCGCTTAAATATATCAGGCCTAGGCCTGGGTATCAAACAAGACATATAACACTAACGGGTTAACTTACTTGTTCATACCTCTTCAATTATGCACTACGGTATTCCCGTTTTAAAAAAACAGATGCGAAACTACAATGTTTTCATGTGTACTATGTACGCCGCCATGTTTAGGCTATAAAACATATATTATCAACACACATAAATTTTAATACCTTATATTTCTTAAAATATATTTATTACTTTAAAAAATTAAGTGTTTTTGAAAATATATATTTAAAAAGGAATTTTATTATATTACTTTAAATAGTGTTGTTTGAGTGTCAAAATTTATGTTTTATTGTGAGAAGATATGACCTACCCACAATCCATTAAACTTCCTCTTTTAACTTGACGGCCTAAAGGTTGTTACAATGATTTAGATGAGTTCTAAAATCTTGGTTTTTTCTTATTTTACATATATCATCATAATTTTTCGATAAATATAGATCGTCATAAATATATTAAAGAATATTTGTATATACTTATTTCAACTGGGTTTTGACTCGTGTACATTGCAATTAGTATTTGTTGAACTCTGTTTCCGATACGTATATATTGTTGGTCGGACTAGGGTGGCCTACTACTAGAAGGCTTGGACTGGCAAATGCAAATTTAGTTGAGTCTTGCTTTATTCAAGACCTGTTGCCCGTGAACGAGGACCTACTTGTCCTATTAAGTTCAGTAGTCCTAAGGCTAGCCCTTGTTTTGTTGGGACACGAGCTAGGTATCCGTAACAACAACAGTATAGAACGGAACTAGGCCTAGCCGAACCCGGCCTAGCCTACTAGGGCCTGGTGACCACTCACTGGTGCTTAGCCTGGCCCTAGATAGGCTAGGTCCAAGAGAGAACCATCCCGAGCAAGCCCGTATTGGGAGAAGAGAAACCTCTGAAAACGATTTTAGGTTAGGTTGAAGGCTAGACTTCAAACATTCCTGATCCACCTAGCCTAGGCCTAGCCCTAAAGTAAAAAGGTGATATATTGAAGTAGGCCCCTGGCTGGGCCCAGCCCCATGTATTGAGTACAGTATGTGCTAGGCATAGGTCTACACTAAAATATTAATACTGACTTAAAAGCACTGTGTCAATAAGCCTGGTGACATTTTCATGAATATTATACTGTACATTTTTAATTTGGCTGTAGATATTGTTCTGGTTTTTTTTTTTGTTCAAAGTTTTAAATTTTATTGGTGGAGCTGCCTTGACCCTTAACTTAGTCTCCCTACCCTATCTTAATGTGCTATGACATGTCAGAAGAATATCCATAGTGCTTCAAATATCATCTCTCAAAGAGCAGCCCATTAATCAGCAGTGTGTACATTTTGTGAATACCTATCTCTAGAAATGGTCTTTAATATGTGATTACTTTCTTTTTTCAGATGGCGAAGAAAAGGAATAATGTTATTCCCAACATCCATTTACGTAAGAACTGGGCCACCAGAGTGAAAACTTGGTTTGACCAGCCAGCACGTAAACACCGACGTCATAACAACAGGATCAAGAAGGCTAAACGTATTGCCCCAAGACCAGCTGCTGGTCCACTCAGACCAGCTGTCCGCTGTCCAACTTTTAAATACCACACAAAATTGAGGGCTGGCCGAGGATTTTCCCTTGAAGAGCTGAAGGTAAGGGACATTTGTTATCGATAAAGAAAAAATAAGCCCATAATGTACTAAATGCCCACTGTTTTATAGAGCTGATATTGAACAAGCAGGAAATGTCTAGAAGATGGTGCAAAATACTATGACAATGGTATGTATATTTTGAGTTTGACAGTTTCAGGTATTGTAGTTGTAGCTTATTGTTTTCCCACATAGACTAACATAGGCCTAACTGATTTAAGTAGGCATTGTGGTTGAATGAAACAAAAGATATAATCATTTTACATGTTTTTTTATATGTTTTGGAGCCAGATTCTTTCTGATTTTCATGGTTAGACAGACCTATAGATTTGGCAGCTCACCTAGTATGTTGGTGTCCATTCCTTGTTTTTTTTTCTGAAACTCAACTTTCATTTCAATAAAATTTTGTTTTGGTCTATTGATAATACAGGCTGCAGGTATCTACAAAAAGACTGCCAGGACTCTAGGAATTTCTGTTGACCACAGGAGGAGGAACAAGTCTGTCGAAGGTCTGCAAGCTAATGTGCAACGTCTCAAGGAATATAGATCCAAACTCATTTTGTTCCCAAGAACAGCTGGAGTCACTAAGAAGGGAGACAGTGAGGTATGCAAAATGTATACACATGAGTATAAAAATGAGTAGTGCAAAATACTGCACATCTGATGCACTTCACATTGTACATAAATGCCTATAATTGACCGATTTGGCGATGGGCGTCACATAACTTTACTTGGGTGTTGGATATAAACATTCGACTGGCACAGCGGTGTTGTACATTGAGATTGCTATTGCAGCCGTCACTTGTTATTTGCTGTAAAGATCATCATAATTCCCAGTAAACTATTCCAAATTGACAGGAAATTAAACTTGAGATTTTTTCCTTAATCTTTTGCTAATGCTGTAAATGTTAGACCTAGGCCCTGTACATCTACAGCATGGTTAGGTATGCATGTGAGTATTCGACCCGCAAACTGTGCTGCAATGTTAGGGCTAGCTAAGCTTTATGAAGGATCACTTAAATTTCAAAGCATACAATCCTAGGAGAACGCTAGGATAAGTAAGTAAACACTATTTTGAACAATCGTATTGCCTTTCCTAGTTTTTACAACCATAACATTACCTTTAGTCCGGTGTACATTAATGGCCCATGTGCACATTAGAGAACGTAGTACACTCTTCAGAAAAGTGTAAGGGATGGTTTTCGGTGTACAGTCTAATCACCACCGGAAGGACCCCACTGGAAATAAGTCTTCTAGATTTTTGTGGGCTGTCCTTGGTGTTTACACTGAATAAATCCAATCCAATTCCTATACTATTGCACTGAATGTTTTCCATGTATACCCAAGTTATATCACCTGACCGGCTGTAAACAAAGATCGCTGAATCTGTCTATTACATCATTATTTGGGTTAATCTTCTACCTGTTGATTGCTGCATGAACTTCTTTTTAATACAATCAATACTAAGTGTACTAATTTCCCTAGTGTATGGGTCACAGATTATAATCAATATAATTATCATTCCCATTTTCGAAATTCAATCAACCTGCAAAAACAAGTCTGTTGTATCAACATTATTTTAGTCTAGTCTAGATTCATAATGTATTTAGCAATAGGATATTCTAACATGATCGTGGCCTATAAATGATCCTCTCTTTCCTTTTGGAAATGGTAAGACTACGTTATGATTCTATCTAGACCTAGCTAACCCTAGATCTGTCCATTTGAGATTTTGAATAGGCTCTAAATACTTCCAATACAATTTCTGCTCCATGGTTAATTCAAATTATATAATATCTGCACAATTATTATCATGCTTTTTATATAGTGCTACTCTATATTGCAATATCAATCCTTGAATACTGGAAAAATTCCATCTGATTGGTTGGTAGTACTGTAGTATCCATCATGCTTTCCCTAGTGTATACTAATAGCACTTCATCAAAGTTAATACTATGTAACACTCTGTAATAGATTACTTCTATTCATAATCTTTCTACAGCATCCTATGATTAAGCCTTGTATTACCATCATACTACTCTATGTTTACTCGCTTGGTGTGCTGAATGCATTCAAATTAATACCAACAAATGAATTGTAACTTGAATCTCTGAACTCACAAATAAGAATTATCTGTGTGGGTTTATCATGGTTTAAAAATCATGTTTTATTATACATACTTTACTGCTCAAATTACTGTGTAAAATTACACATCAGTGAGTATTTGTTATACAGTATTTGTGGTGAAGTGAAGAGGAAATTGTCGGAAAAATCAATTTTGAGATATTAGCATTACATGAATAATTGCATTATGATTTATAAAAAAAACAGTAGTTACAAAGTTATGCCGATGTTTAATAGCCTGATATTAGCAATGCATGTTTTGAAGATACAGCAATAAAACAAGCCTTCTAGCGGCACCTGCACTGGACGCCTAGTGTAACGCGATACAATCAGTTTTCAAAGGTGCTTGAAATTGTGTATACTGTAACAAAAGACACATGTTTATATTTGCCTGAATTAGCATGTAGTAAACAATCAAAATTTAATCTGACATTATACTGTAAGCTTTCCAAAGATATTAAGTTTGACATGCGGTTGACCTCAAAACAACATTAAAAAATCAAAAATTTTGTGAGTATTTTTATTGATAAATTGCCTTTATTTCTAATTTTTCTGGCTTCCAATGCCTATCAAAAATCTTTTTTTTTTTTTAAATTAGTATTTTATGCTAGAAAATATGAAAACTATTAAAGTATTCTAATTTGGTACTTAGAAACTTTTTATTTCGAAATTTGACATTGTCTATTGTTTTGGCTTTTACTGTATCTCTTAAAATCATTTTTCCAACTTCTGACTGTTTCCACTTGGCTGTGCCACATTCAGTTAAATTTGAAATAATTTATAAATACTGTCAAATTTTTTTCCTTTTCATAGGAGTCTGAATTGAAGCTTGCAACGCAGTACACCGGCCCAGTCATGCCAATCCAAGATGCTGTACGTCGTGAGAAGCGTCGTGCTGTCACTGATGATGAGAAGAAACACAGCGTGTACCAGTCTCTGAGAATGGCGCGCTCAAATGCGAGACTGCACGGAATCAGGGCCAAGCGGGCGAAGGCCAAGGCAGAAGCTGAGGCAGAAAAGCAAACAAAGAAGAAGTAAACAAACCTATCTGTAAATTAGAAGCTTCGCAAATAAATCTTACCATGTCAAAATGATGGAATGACATTGATTCCCGTGTCTGTTTTTTTTCTTTTATTTCTGTTTAGGCAGGAAAGATCGTCAGAGGCGGGTGGAAAAAAAATAAAACTAAAATTTTATTTTCTTGTTTAGCAAATAGTTTTGCCAAAAACAAACCGACAGAGGATAAAAATAAAATGTTATTGTTGAAGGTAAACAGTCTAGTAATGGGATGGTTAAATGCTTTAGGAAGAAATATACATTTCTTATTTTTGAAGATTTTAAGGCAGCGGCGGGCATAATAAAATTGCGCTAATTGGCCAAAATGAAATATTGTTTTTGTTATCAATATTGGAGGGTGGGAGGTTCGCAAAACAAGATATAAAAAGAGAGTCGTCTTACTGATCTAATATTTGTTTTAATTTTTTCTCGGCCATCACATTAGGATAAATCTAATACAGTAGCAATTTAATTTTATGTATTCCGTCAAGCTGTTTGGAATATTCTGCCACACCAAAACCATCATCTAGCCGAAGATGGTTTTGTTGCGGATCATAACAAAATTGATTTCGGGCGGAACTTTGCCCACCTGCAACATTTGCGTTGTAAGTGGCCATCACATAAACATCTCCACATAGTGCTCTGATGCTTAGTGAGTGGTGATGATTTTGTTGTGAAAAAATATCGTTAAACATGATCTGAAGCTGGGAATTGGAGAGCAAGTATATTAACCACAATGCTACATCTTTTTTAATTCAATTCAATTGAAAAATTATTTAATATCCAGGAGGAAATTCATTTTGATCATGGCATAATACACTATATGAAAACAATGTACAATAAATAAAAAAGATATATAAAATTGTTAAAACATAATTATGATTAAAATGAACAATTTCAAACAATTAAGAAAAACACAAAAACATTTAAAATAAGTTAAAAACATAAGAATCCTCAAACTATCCAGACCCGTATAATAATAATTATTTTATTGATTTTTATTTTTTATCTAACACTACATAACGAGTTCCATGTGATATTTTCACACCAATCTACTACTTTTGTATACTGTACAGAGTCAACCTCTATGTATGGAATGCAGTAATGTAATTGGATTTAATAATACCTGTACTTGACGTTTAATTGAGAAAGCAAGTCTAGCTGATTATGTAATCTGTAAATTTACTGGAACCAGTCAAATTCTGTACTGCAATTATTATAACATTGCTTCATTGTTACTACAATAATGGAGGACGCCACTGCACGATGTTGGGATTTGTTGTAAATTCTCTTTATCTTTATGATAACAAAAATTGAATCATAAAAGTAACAATGTATTCAGAATTGGTTTTCTCTATGGATGCATTATGACGATAGTCTAAATACTGTAGTACCACGATTTAACAGTTGTAGGGCCCGAGATTTGCTGACAGGAGGTCCGACAGCGGGGTCTGAACCAAGGGACCGACTAGAGCCTTGATCGTGGTCCCAGAATATGAATTTCTGGTAGGGCTCATGGGGATAGGATAGGGCTTAATATTGCCAAAAACTGTGCTTTTAGACCACAATATTAGGGATTTGCAATAAAAAATAACGTTACTGTATTTGGATATGCAAATTCATATTTTGGTTCGACTACGTTGTCGTCAGACGGAGGGGGAAAATTCCACCTGCCCCTGTTATTGAGGCACTGTATTGAGCACTGTTTTTTTTTTTCAAAATTCATTTAAATCATCCTGTAATTTCGGCAGATAAAATGTACCCACTAGCCACAACAAAACATTGATATGACATAAAAAAGTGCCATTTCTAAACAAAATTACCGGTGTTCCAGGGTCTTGAGGGGAAGTCCAGTTCGGAATCCGACGTAGATTTTGGATATTCTGGATTTCTAGGAATTTGGTATAGATGAAGTTTTTTATGCCTTATTTGAGGTAACTGGTTGCTAAAAGTTGTACCTTGCGAAGGCTCGTTATGTTAATGCAAGTGGTGGATATTTTATGTTTATGATAAGTAAAAATCACATGGAAATATCAAATAACAGTATACTATGTAATAAATGTTTAATAAAAGCGGTTAAAACGAAAGCAAGGAAAACACTCTAAACCTGTGGCAGTGTTGAAATACAAAAACCAATCTCGCGTTTATCCTCGATGATGCGATGGTCTCCTGATAAGTGACGTCGTTACGTCAGTCGCGCGCAATTAATTTCGGTTTCACGATAGCAAAACAGCTCGGATAATATACAATTTCTCAGTTACGTCATTAGATTGTATGTCATAATTCTTACTAAAATCGGAGATCTTAAAAGTTGACAACATGTTGCCATGAAAACTGCCTAATATATAATATTTTGGCATAACATGTCGGATTTTCATTATTTACTTAAAAGGAGTCTCGAATTTATCCAAAAGGTCCACAATCTTTAAACCGCTGCTATTATTGTAATTTATGGATACTCCGCGGCACGACAGAAGGTATTCCTAAGACAATCTCCACCTTTTTTTAAGGAAATTTTCAAATAATACTTAATGATATTGTACTGTTTATGCAATCTCTCTCGGTTGGTATTGAATGAGTTGTGGTGCAATTTGTTGTGCCGTAGTTTTATGGGTGGGTTTTGATGCCAACATATTTGTCAACTTTTAAGATCTGTGAATCTGAGTCACCCCCATCCCACCCCTTGGTTGGCAATACTGTACCTTTATACTTGAAATCTGTAGTTAGCTTTCTCCTTGTTTTTTTTTTTTTTATCATCATGTCCTTGCATTTTAATGGCTTATATTTTCTATTTGATTTAATTTGATTCCCTCATTATGTATACCAAGCTATACAAGGTAATACCAATCAAGTATTCATATACAGAAATGCAGTTTTGAGTATTTGCGATCCGATTATCAGTTGTATTGTAAACTTGCAGGTACTTCTGTTACCAGAGCAACGTAGATTACATCACCTATTTGTTACTATGGTGATACCGACGCAAATAATTCATGAGTGATCATCCTTTAGCGTTTGCATTGAAAGCATTAGCCTTGCTTTCGCTTCCATTATGTATATATATATATATATATATATATATATATATATATATATATACTGTATATATATAGGCCTATATATATAGTAATATGTATAGGCCTATATACTGTATTATGTGTGTGTTGGGGGGGGGGTGATATGTTATGAACATGAAATCAATCGAATGAAATCTTATTTGTCATATATGGGTTGTAAATTGCTCAAAATTTAAACATTAAGAAGATACTGAAAGATCAGTGTAAGCCCTTGGTATTACCTTATCGCAATTTAGCGTATTGAGAGTAATCTTTTCGAATCGGCCTAGACATTTGAGAGCCATCGTTTTGATTTAAATCTTTCAATAACACTTCCAGTACAAAATCAGATTACATATCAGGGATTGGTTTTTTTTTTTTTTTTTTTTTTTTTAAGAGATCGACTCAACCCTTGAAGCAGTTACTTTTGTTAACCTGTGTATTGCCATATCTTTGTAGCAAACAGGAAGATAATATCAATCTCCATACACAAAAACAAAATAATGTTTAGCTCGTTGATAACGCTATTAAATACTAGGGCCCTCTTAAAATGTCTATTAGTGCTTCTAATGTGCTTCCTCAGCGTGTCTAATGGTTCCGTTGCTTATTCAGGCCCAAAATTCGGCAGCATTCCACAAACTTTTTACCATTGAACGTACGTTCCCAAATACCTGCGAAAAAAAAATTAGAATCACTTGCGATTTTCTTCGAACTGAGTTGAGTATTCGGTACGGTAACACGTCAGGTAGGGTAAAGCATCACTCCTATACTATTGAAGCAACTCCACTGGTTACTAATTTATTGTTGTTATTATTATAAGAAATTAAATTTAAATTGTTATTGGAGATTAATCTCTGAAATGGTACCGGCTGTATACTTTATAAAAGCGAGGTTTATGTGTTTTGTTTGTTCCTTGGAGGAGTATAACTAGTATATTATTGGCAATGACCGTGTATTTTATGCACTTTTCAAGTTCTAGAATGCTTTACCCTTTGAATTTGACTAATGCACTTCAATCGTAGTTTTTAAAAGGAAGAGGAAAGGAAAAGTAGAGTCGTTGTCTTGCCCATGGCCCTACTTGGGCCTATTTTTGAAATTTATTGTACAGTAGGCCCTATTAAGCTCCATATTTGGATTTTACCTTTTACATAGACTTCGCATTAGTCACTTAATTGATTACTGAGTCTTTATTCTCCCTGCCAAACGGCACATTCATGCTAGATATAACAGCTTAAACATACGTGAACTTTCAGAAGTCAATTCACTTTAAAGCCACATTTCTTGTTTTATGTCGAAATTTGATTGATCGGTTTCAGTGCAATTGGTATTTTTTCCTATTTAAAGAGAGGATCTGCCATATTTGAATTAATTGCCAGCCAGTTTGTGGTGCAGTTTAAATAATAGTTCAAGTACGATGTTTTTTACGCGTCTTGGTGGTGATGACGAAGAGGAACACTTCCAGCGGGCGCTAGACAATTTCAAAATTATTATATTAAATTTAAATATATTGTTAATGTTTATAAACTTAAAGGAATAGTATAACAAAATCCAATGGAAGGGAATGTTTTAATAATTATTTCTGCTATGTAAAACGTGGCTGTGACGTATCAGACACACACTTTATTTTGTGTCTGCCGTAAAGTTTGATGATGATAATAATAATAATAATAATAATAATAATAATAATAATATAATTAATAATGATAATAATAATACACTTTCATATGATAAATATTATTACTGTATTATTATTTTTTTTTATTATTGTTATAAAACATATAAACTTTTGATAATAACAGTTAGGCCTACCCTTTCAAATGAAGGCACTAAAAAAACACTAAAAAACGTGCATGACTTAAACGATCTGCAATTTAACCATGTACCATATGACGTCAAATTATTCCGTTATGTTCTCCTTTAGTAAACTGTTTTCTTTTAAAAGATTCACAAATGATATATCACAGTTTGAGCAGTATACGAACATTAAAGTATAAAAATCTCTCTTCTTTACTGGCTTATTAAATCATATGGGAATGCAATACTTTTCTCCTAAGTTGTCGTGGATTTGTGTTTCTTAATTCCTTCAAATGCGATTGCAACGTCTGGGCATTCAACTTTAGAACCTAAGGCAATGAACCGCTAGAAATGTTACATTAAAGTTATTTTCCCATTAGCTGACGTCATGCTTGATTTAGAAAACACATTCATGTTTGTTTGTTGAATCCTAAACAACATGAGCTCTCCATTCTAACTGGTTAATAATTGCAGCGCGCGGTCACATTTAGCCAGGTTTCCATGGCTGCACGATATCGCCGATAGCTTTCGGCGAAGCTGATTGGTCGGTCGAATCAGTGGGACAGGAATGTGCTCTAGTGAATTTATTGGAACCAATCATTACATCAGATTACTGTATTACGCTACCATAACCATTATTAAGCTCAGTTTTACACAATAGATCTACTAATATTCAAAGGCTCTTAGTTTCCAATTACGAAAAAGTTGAGACAATTTTTTTCTGTATTTGCGTTTGACATACTCTGTGTGAACCGGTTGAAATGTATCGTATAGGCGTATCATCAAACAACGTATCTCATTTTGAGCTGTACTTTCGGCCTCGATTCAATAATCTTATTTGTATAGCCTAGTATGATACAGAATACAGAACATTAATCTGGTCAAAAAAAATGATTATCCTTATTTAGATAGATGTCTAGTAAGATATATAATCAATTGTCAACACATTTATACAATAGAAAAGAAAAGTATTATTTTCCATTAAGCAATAACACAAAACTGTACGCCGACCAACATTGATAACATTTTAATGTGCAATGAAACTGTGTTTTCATCCAAAACATATCCTTTACAATGACAACCTCCTTAACTAATATAGTATTATGAACATTAATGAAAACATTATGACTTACAATAGCACCATTGGGCCTACTTACTTACACGATTGATCTTTAATGCGATTCATCATATTTACTTCAAAAGAAATTCTAAAGACCACTATCTTTTTTGTGAATTCAGATAATGTTGTTGTTTTTGTTTAATTTATCAGTTTGGGAAGAGGAACATGTCAGAATTAATGCGAGATATGGACATTTATTTGTTCTAACAAAACATACGTTCTTTATTTGAATACCATTGTGCCTGACAACGATAATAACCCTAGCTGCTTTTCTAAGGTAATCACTTTGGCATAGTATTATTTTTATCTAAATGAAACTCAATCGTATTGTAAACAATAAAAATGAACCTATACCCACACCCGATGTAACCACAGTTTTGTTTTTAATTGATAACAGAAATCGTATGGGTGTTTTCTTAATCATCAAATAATTTGTAACACCAAACGAAAATAAAATCCTGGCCCCAAAATGTCTTTGATTTAAAAGTAAAAGTCTAAATGATTTAAATAAAAAAAGACTGATCTTTGTTATGATGAAAGTGTCTTATATGGATCACCGCTGGATTTCACAAAAACGGATGCATTTTTATAGGCTTATTCCACATAGTTATATTTTTATAGGCACAATTAAGGTGTTCTTCAAATGACACTTGTTATATCAAAATTGTTATATCTGGGGAGTGGTAGTAGCAAATGGTAATGACGTTCGACGTGTAAAGACTCATATTCGCGGTCGATGTAAAATACGAACCTATGCGTCGTCCCATAGGGTACAGGCTGACTTGTTTCATTCAGCAGTGATCTTGTTGATGAACTTTGTCACAAATTTCGCCATTATTTTTATTGTGAGATGGCCGTACCCGAGCGTAATTTTTGTAACTGTATACAGTAGTGTGGTTTATGATAAGTATCGCATTTATAATAGGCCCTACATGTCACAATTATTGTAAACTTAAAAAATAGAATACCAACCTTTACTATAATAACAATGTCGGATGTAATAATAAATACACACTTGTAGCGCCTGTCAAAATAGTTTTAGCTTGGGCTATCAATCATGCTAATTGATTATCCAAACCATATTTAGAAAAAAAACAAAAAAAACAAGGATAACAATATGCCGTAATCTTCATTTACAGTAATCTAGAAAATACATTCCAAAAACAGTTATCAAAACTAGAGAATTATAGCAACACATTATGAATTGCACCAGAGAATTTACTGTGTATAAAAGACTTGAAAAATAAGCTTTGAAAAAAATTCTTACATATACGTATAAACATTTCATAATTTACATCGAATAGTTATAGATTCTTGAATTTTTTGGTGAGCATTTGGAATGGAATACATACCACGTTGTATTTCTATTCATGTATTTCTTTATGAAAAACAATTTTATAGGTGGGAGAGCTTTCCCACTGCTGGTATACGACACACACCTATAAGGAATATAAAACAATGCTACTCTAGTTAATTTCCACTAAAAAAATCCCCCCTGGAACGTACCCCGATGAAAAAATGGACCATTCCGGTGTACCACTCTAAACAACTGTCCAATTAGAACAGAGCCTAGGAATGCGTGCTTGTTTCCAAAACAATGCATGTTTATGTATACCTTTGCGCTGCCGTTTTGGACCCATAGCATCACTATCCAAGGGGAGGAACTTTGCGGAACGGTCCATTGAGCAAAACTACAAGTTAGAGCCAAAATCTAGCATCACAGAGATCATATCACTAGTACATCGTAATTTTCATACAAAGGTACTCATATCATGTTCAATCCGGAAACTATTATACTAAAAGCTCTTTTCATAGTAAGTCCTCAAGCCCTATCATGCGCGCCTTTTACGAGGATGATCCTGCCACTACAATTAGGCCTAGGCCTTAAACAACTTTAAACGCCTGACATTTTCTGTCGTGTTTAATTTGCTTTTGTTTTTACTGTTTTCTGAAAATGATTAATCAACAACGCTATTGTCATAATCACCTTGTTCACCGTTGATCCACCATTATCATCATCCATCATCATCATCATCCATCATCATAATAATAACAATCTTCATCATCATCATCATCATCATCATCATCATAAAGTTGCAGATAGACAACCGTAACCCCTCTTACAGTTTTGTTTATAGTTTATGCAAATTTGTTTTGGGCGGTTTGACATCAATCGGTATCAATGAACTTGTATTGTTAATCCATTTCTAAGGAACTCATCCACCACTTTCTGTGAATGTCGCACTTTCTGAGTAAGAGTTTCTATCAGCAAATCACGCTTGTCGGCCATTGCTATGTCTATGATGAACTGGTGTATACTCTCCAGTCCTCGGAATCCCATGTTCACTTCAGAGCCTAGAACAAAAACAAAAGTACAATATATAATATTTCACTTCAAAAGTACCTTTATATTGAACATAGACAGTAAACCGCAAAGAAGCAGTGTAGTTAAGCTACATTGTCTCAGTCAATACATCACAGTATAACTGCGTATGCTATAGTTCATCTTGTAGAGGTGGGATGTTTTTTATGAAATAGCTACACTGTCGGTGCTCGCTCTGTCCTCTCCCCAGACACAATGTACCTTTCTGGGGTGTCAATCAGACTTAACAATGTCCAAGGGGCGGAGCTTAGCGGCTCGCAGATTCGACTACCAATCAGTGTCGTCAACAATATCGGCAAAAGCGTGTAGCGATATCATGGAGAACGAATTTATCCTGGTTTGAAATGTTACGCTGAAGTACTCGATATACTATGCACAGAACTGTGGTGTTAAATGCAGTGTGAATATTTAAGAATTGTTTCAGTTAATTACTGCGCCGTCAGTCGTGTTACAACATTTGCAGTCACTACCTACCTGTATGGAAGTTAGTTGTGCGTGTTGCGTCACCCTCAACCGACACAATTATATTTTCGTCCTCGATAAGCGCTACGTTCTCTCTTCTGTACGATAGTTTGATTTCAGTCATACGCCGACTGCAGTGCATACTGATAGCCTCCGCATCACTTATTTTCTTCTCGCGTTTCGTCCTGTAACTATTAAATGATTCTTGAAAAATGTGTCGAATTACCTGTGAATGGAAAACGAACAAAGTGAAAATATGGACAGAGGTTTGGTTAGTTTGTTGGTGGTTTGCGCCTCATCGCCAACGCCGTTTTATACTGCATGCAATTTTCTATGAAAGTGTAATCTATTCATAATTGACCGTATTTTTTATTAGCAAATGACAGTCGTCGGCCGACGCGCTTCTCTGGAGAACGCAACGCCACGACGCGTGTGCAACGGATTGTTTTTAATGACAATTCGTTCAGACTGCCACTGACAGTCAGCAGAAGGTGTCGTATCGTCTAGCACTCAAAGCAAAGGCAGCGAAGATGGGTTCGTCGGCCGATAGTACGACAATCGTTATATCGACCACAGTGAGTGAGTACCCGTCATCCCCTACACCTTCCCTGAAATGATAGTTACACTTATATACTATTGAGATATCAATACTTACAGAAGAATCTGACGTAATCCGTAGTTGACGAAGAACATTCGACCCGTTCTTCGGACAAGACAGTGTCAGGTAGCGGTAGCGATACGTTCCAAAGATCTTGAACTTAAACGTAGGCTTAGTGAGTTCCGGCTGCCGGTACTCGCTGCCAAATGCTGACAAGTCCAACTTCATATTGTTTCTTGTTGTTTCGGCAACAGCAACATGTTTGTGGTACATTCTGTCTAGACTGGCCATTGCACCGTAAGCATTGCACGAACATAGTATATACTCGTCGCTAAGACCAAGCAGTGACGCCGTATCACCGCGTACACCATCGCAGACGACCATTAGACTAATTTTCGTCTTTTCATTCTTGCAAACATTTCTCATAATGTCCTCTGTGAACTAAAATGATAGATAAAATCATAATGGCATTTAGAAACATATTACATAAACTTAAATTGAACCAGTACGTTGTGATCAATGTTTATGTTGCTTTATCCCAAGGCGTCTGCAAGTTGTTAGGTTTTATATTTACGTGAGTTGTATCCGTCTGAGTGTGATTACAAACGGAAAGGCTTCGATTGTAGCATCCGGAATTTTATCGATTATATAGTTTTGCTGAATTAATCATTGAAGAAAAGAGAGTCGTATCATCACTCTACCTGCGTTAGCTTGAATTTTAGGTTTTCTCACAGTACGAATACCTGTGGCACACCACGCTTTGGAGTGGGGTGAGGGAAACCAGTGACGTAAAAATAGTTGAATCTGAAGGGGTGTAAGCTCAAAATGCACAATGATGCACCCAGAGATCGCGCTTTGTTGTGACGTTGCCTTGAACAACTACGCACATGGTGCATCAAAACGACAGTCGCTAACATCGGAATTGAAATATAACACGGTTAGGGACAGTTAATAGTGTATAATGCGGATACGGAGGGGTTTTTACACTTGACTGCACATAATGTATGCGTGAGCCAATTTCTTGGCAACATTTGTTAATTGTGAAGACGTATCGACGAAATTTCCGTACAGACAGTTCGCCGATATCGTATCGTATATAAATATTGACCTGAATGGGGATTGGTACGGTATACCGGTACGCTTTGACGACACGAGGATTGTCTGACGGCGAAATGTCGATATTCCCCATAGTACACAATCAAAAAATGTTGCTGGTGAAATATCTGTATGCTGTATGTCTGTTCTTATCGAAATGCTTTAACGTCAACTGACATCAGCCCTGAAACCAAAATATAAGCATTACTGCACATGGAGCGTATAGCATATGCAATTACCTGCATTTCTACATTGAATTGAAAATCATCAACTTCACTAAGTAAAAGTGTTGGTTACCCATCATTTAGATTAACAGGTACATATTCTTGAGTGAGTCGAGTGGCCGAGCGTTAAGGCAGGGGCGGCACTAACTACAGCCTTTATCGGCGCTGGTTCCAGCCGCTCCTCGCCCAGGGTTCGGTTGGTAGAACCAAGTCCTCTCGGATAAGGACTTAAAATGGAGGTCCAGTGTATACATCTAGCTCGTGTGCACTTTAAAGGACCCAAGTTGCATCTTTTGGGAGAGTAGGGGGTTACCCAGATGTTATGGTTCATTACAGCCCTGTCGTCGTGGAATTATGTGAACATTAGCTACTATAAGCGCTTCTTTACGGCTGCTATTGGTAGTCGCGGACCACTCTCATACACAGTTCAGCACAAGCACAATCATTTAGGCCTATATGATACGCAATTCAGCACAATCATTTAGACGCCGCAAGTTATGGGTTATTCTCCTACCTTTACCCTTTACCTTTATATTATACGTTCACACCCTCCCTACAATAAAACAGTCAATAAACTGCAAATCAAGGGTCGTGATGGATAGGATGGATAGCGGCGTCATTAGAGCTCAAGCAAGCTCTAACTTATTGATGATGTTTCTAGAGGTACTTGTATAAATGTAGGTCTACTCTATAATATACAATATATGTTGATGATTTATGAAGACATTGGCTTACACAAGGTAGGCTTCTCGCACCGCTCCTTACGACAGTTGTCAATTACCTAAAATGAACGAAGATTGGGAAGGAACGACTGAAATCCCTCCCTGAAGCAATTCCTAAGATTGTCTTTCTCTCTTATTAATATTCCCTATTAGTGTTATTATACTTATTTAATATTTCACCACCACAGAAAGCGTCCTTGTTTCTCGACACTCGATCGTTTGGTATTGACTCGCGTACCACGTCAGCGTCAAGTTAGTTTTGGATCTGTCCGTATTATTTTTCATTTGCCATTTTGATTGTCTCGGAAAGAAGTATTGTAATGTTGTTGAAATTCATGAAATTTTGAGTTCATTTGTAAACAGCAAACAGTTACGAAGATGAGGTGCCCTAGATTAAAAAGCAAAGTAAGCATGCACGATATATTAACATGATATATTAATGAGAGTACTGTGATATAGCACACTTGTGTAAGGTAGAATAAGCCTAAAGGTTTCTACGCGTAGAGTAAGCGTGTGTTGAATATAGAGGCTAACGAGAAGCTAAAGTTCTACATACACTAATTTCATTGTCGTATCGTTCAATTAATTACCGGTTACTAAAACACATTAGTGGCATAATCTGGTAAGGTGACAAACCACTTAACATAATAATGGCGATTTGCAAGCATTTGTCATTGATGTTTGTATCAATGTAAGTTGCACACGACTCAAGAACATGCCAGTGTATAATAAATAGGTGGAGCTGGAACATTTAAGAACGTTTAATTTATTTCTTCATCACCAACAATCATATCCAAGTAGTAAATGTTTAGAAATCCTCGACGACATAGCTTGATAATGTAAAACCTTCGACAATAAAAAAAAAACATTAAAAAAAACCCGGTACGGTATTTAACATAAAAAATATCGAGCAGCAGTAAAAGCCTAGGATAAAATAGAAATGTGACAATTGAACACGACCTCGGATATCACTGATGAATGTATGCACCGTTTTATGCTGATCTCTCAATTTTCATTTTTTTTTCTCATAGCAACTTGCAATGGTCCAAAACTGCCCATTTTTTTTCAAGGCATCCTTATACTTATAGGCATACCTTTTAAATTAATGAGGTGTGAAATAAAATGAATTTGTGGATGGATATTGCGGAATTGACATATAATGCAAATTATTGTATTAATGAAATGCAATGCAGATTTAGATTTTAGTCAAGAAGTCTTGACTGAATTTTACAGATGATTATAATGATGATGATGATGATGATGATGATAATAATAATAATAATAATAATAATGATAATGATGATGATAATGAGCCTAATAATGATAAATATGAAATGCAATGCATCTGTATACATTTACATTTAAGTCAAGAAGTTCTAACTGGAATTTTAATCATTATAATCAGCTAAACCGGTATCCATGCTTTAAAAATAAACATAATACACGTGGATTTAATAATGGTCTGATATTAGGATTTATATAATACAATATTCCAATAATCCGTTGCTCTCAAAATCTGAACATAATCTTTCGAAACAAAAACAAGTCGTTATAATAAAGCTCAAAAAGTCTAGGCCTATTAGATTTTCAACAGGCACACACTGAATATCACGTCAGCACTTTAGTGCCAGAGTAGGCCCACAATATTGTAGGCCTAAATGAGGACAATCAAAAAAAATATTACCCTCATAAAAATACTTCATTAATCGAATGAGTTTTCAAAACTGATTTACGGACAGACATTTTGGAATCATGTGAAGTCATTTTAATGTGAGAAACCAAGAGCGAGTGTAATTCAGTCACTGAAACGAGGTTTGTGATTATCTTGTTGCCCTTTTGTAAGATAAATTTCAAATTGTTTGTATTTGTCTGAATATTTTTTATCGGTATGTTTTTATGTGTTTGTTTGAATAAATAAACCAAACAATAAATAAAACAATAAATGTAGAAATTAAAATTTATAAAGCACAATGTAAACTACATAGCATTAGACAATTAACCTCAGTGACATAAGACGATCAGACGTGAAACACTAAAATGTTACTATTCATTTAGCTAAAATATAAAATGCCTAATCAAGGCATTTTGATTCATTAGACGATTTACCAATGAGATCCCCTTTTTTACCATCATTCATTAACTATTAGGTAATGAGCGTCGGAGGTTGAAATTAAAATCTCGCAGATATTCACTTAGTGCTGAAGGAATGGTGTTAACAGAGCTTCTATTTCTCATCTCGTCTGTTTCTAACCAGTTGGCAATTATTCACTACTATTCTAAAGATGAACAAATGTCCCGGTATTTTCCCAACGTTGAGGGTTAAGCTTAGTTCAGACTAGATCAATTTAGACGCGTTACGCGAACGACGCTACTATAGTCAATTTTCAGTGTGTGGATTACGGTACTCGAAATTAGACGCGCACCGCAACTGTAATCTGTTTCTGTCAAATCGCTACACTTTCACGAGAGTGTTTTCACTGCAATTGACTGCATAGCTGTCCCGACGCAATCGGGAAGGTTCCAAAACGACTGACAAATCGGCGTCGCCGAAAGCTGTCACAGGGTGGCGATAGCATATGCGGTGATTTTATGAAACCAGACTTTAGGCCACAAGCCAGGAGTGTGTGCGTGAACCCTGCCATAGAATTTTGTCGAATTGAAAACAATTCCAGTAGTAAATTTACACACACTCGCGCTTGGTTGGTTGGTGACTCAATCATTAGATAGCGGTGTCTATCTGATGGTCAATTGTCTTTCAATGACAGATGACTAACATTAATAACAATAATAATTGGTGATTAAAGTACCGTGTATTTATACACTATTGGAAAAGTCGTAAATACAACAATTAATGTTATTTACTGTAAAGCTTTGAACTCGAATTAAGTGCCGTGTTCCCTTAGATAAGCTTAGTTAACTGTCTCTATAAATAAGTGGACTCTTATTGGATTCGACAAGTTGTGCGGTGATATATGTTGCAATGTTTCTGGTGCCAACAAAAATTAATGCCTCGACTCTCCCCGTCATGTCTACATTAGCAAATTACTTCAGTGGCTATAGAATTCATGTAAAGGCAATTATTTTAAAACAAAAAGAACAGAAACTAAGTAAATTCAGTGTGAATAAATTATATATATATA